TTTTTGTTTCTGCATTTTTATTGACTTTTTCATGATGTCGAATATACATATATGGTCAAACAAAATTTACCAAATTTTCCCCTACCTCAAAAAAGGCATATATTTTTTACTTAGTATGTTAAATTGAAAAATAAAAAGAAATCCTTTAATAAAAACAAGCTAACTTATTTCTAAAAATGTTTTGAAAAGTTTGAAAACTACACTTGTTATCACAATTCTCTCTGACAGTCAGTTGACAAGATCCAATTCATTTTAATTTCGTTTTTACTACTGTAAACTGTAAACTATAAAGACTAATGCTGAACAATATATATGAATGAATGATTGATGAGAAAAAGCAATCACTCTTATATCGAGTTGTATTGCATCTTAAATATTTCATTGCCGAGGAACCGGTCGTATCATAAAAACCAATCATGTCTAAATTTGGTTGATTGGCACGTGTAGACTCTTTAATTTTGTCGTTTTGCATCATTCACAATTAAAGTTTCAGTTATCCCATCGCACTCCATATGTACACAATTGAAACACTTTAAAACTGAGTAATCGCGATCATCAATTATTAAATATACGGCTAGTTTTATTTGTACACGTTTTCCTTCTGAAAATAATTGAGCACGCGGACCGATAAAAAAATCAACGAGAGAAGTCGTTACGCGTTCCTAATGGCAAAATAAGAAGTAACGTCGATAACGCCCCGTAGGAAATTAATCGTGCAGACAAGGAAAATCTCAGATACCTGCAGATCACCATCTCAATTAAGAGAACACTTACGTACACGGCTAAAGATGATGCTTCAAGCATGGACGTCGCAAAGTTTCCCCGACGGCGACACGCTGCATGAAAACGAAATTGGTGGCATGCTCTATATGATCCGTGCATGTCGTGGGAATGTCTCGCCCTCGTGTAAACGACCGCTAGTATGTTGACAATAAAAGCGAGAGATAGAGAGGAAGGGGGAAGGCCTACGTCGAGTCAACCGAAACAAAAAGCAGCAACTTTGCGCATTATTTAATCGCGGATATCAATGTCGTAATCTGAAGCACATGCGAGTGAGCGCGCAGAGTGTATTGTGGCGTAAAAATATCTGATATGTGCTGCCTCATTCCATGACTTTATTTTATATAAAAATTTATCCGTGGAATGTACGTGCACGCTACTTTATACAATAAAAATTTACGATATTCTGCGTTGTCCCATTGCAAATGCAAGCAAAATATTTGCTCGCTTTTCGAAAAAGAAAAGAAATTAGTAAGGTGATCCCATCGCGCCTCGTGCATACTATCCTATCCAGTGAAACTACAACAAAATACGATGCACATGCAAGTATACGCACAACTTCTCCCTATCTCTCTCTCTCTCTCTCTCTCTCTCTCTCTCTCTCTCTCTCTCTCTCTCTCTCGCTTCCACTCTCTCCCTCTCTCTTTCTCTCTCTCTCTTTTTCTCGAAGGGATGGGTAAGGAGAGGGGGACACCGGTTTTCGGAAGCAGCAATCTGTATAGGTACAGCGTGGTAGATATAGTTGAAGTGCAGCATCGCGAGAGAGCGACGAGAGCGCCGCTTCCAAGCTTATAAAGTCTGAGCAATGATCGAGCACGAAACCAGTTGATTTTTCGCCCTCTCGTCGCCATGAGCGCCACCTCACTTATCATCGCTCGATCGTCACTATCCTTCGCTGCGTTTTCATAAAAGATAGACAAATAGTTTCCCTACATGCACACGCGCATGGAGATTAGGCTACCTCTCAGATGTGATATTTAGCTTTGTTTTACAAGTGAACGCCACCGGACTGTACGCGAATCCCTCGAGTGAGTATATTTAGTTTTGTGTGAACATTCAGATTATGAGGATGAAAGTGCGATATTTAAACTGATTGATTGCAAACAATCGAAGCGATTTAGATGTTTGATCGATCGTCAATTTATGTACGTAGTCCTCGATTCCGAGAATTTCGTGTGTCTATATATATATATATATATATATATATATATATATATATATATATATATATTGTGCGTGTGTGTGGTATATATGTGTATGTGTGTCTACATGCTTATTTTTACGCTAACAATAAATGAGGTGCGTGTACGCAGGCACACGCGGGATCATCCTAATACATATATTGCGTAAATCGCGCGGTTACGAGATCAAGACAAATCGATGAAGAAAAAACTTTGACGTCCATTTTAGTGTTTTCTTTTTTTCTTTTTGTCGTAATATTATTAACGCTTTTATGACGTGCACATACACATTTTTTCCCCCAGTATAGTCTCTTATCAAAAATTGGACGAGGAAAAAACAAAATCCAACACCGTACACGTGAGCATGATTCGTTGTGTAGCAGATCATTGGAAAAGTTGCTGAGTGTACGCGAGCGTACGATAGGTGGATCATAACACGATTGAATAAGCAACGATTCTCGCATACTCCATTAGGATAGCTGTACAAATTTCACCGCAGTATTCGCGACTATAACGCTTAAGTTATTTATCGATAACGAAATGAAAAGCCTCTCGCGGTATGAAAACTCCCGGATAAAGCGGTTCCAGAGTCGTCCACGTGTTCGATCAGCTGTCCTAACAGCTTTATTTTTTTTTGCATCGAACCGATTTAATTTCAGATTAAAGTACGAAGCCGTTCGATCGAAGGTGTTTTCATAAATTCGTTCTCATATTTGTAATCTCGCGTCTAACTATTTTTCGTTGTTGAGTTCGAAAACTCTAGCGAAGAACAATATTTTCCAAGTCTAGACTTTGAATTAGAGTAATTTTTTAATATTTTTTTAAACATAGGTTCTATTTCAAAATTTCTACTGTATCCGTTGTGAACATTTATAAAGACAAACAAAATTCTTTTGAGACGCAATAAAATATATTCAATAAACTTTTGTCCTATTGGAATTACGAAATATTCGATGTCACAATCGTATTATAAAATTTAAAGAACGTGTTTTTCCCTAAACGTCATATTTTTCTTAGCATTATGCCGAAAAAAATATATATATACATATCGGCTTTAATCACAGCGTCACTAAAACGCCCATTATCTCATCGATAGCCGATACTTTTTTACGTAACGTCGGTACATTGAACTTGAACGGCGATAAAATGAGAACGAATGGAGCATCGTCCCGCCATAATTATGCGCGTCAGAATAAAAAATACAAATATACAGATTTCCGTTTCTCTCTTTAAATTTTTCATTAATCGCTGATTTCAGTTATCCTTTGTTAACCGATTCCGCGATATTTTATTTTTCCTTGACGATTAGATTGGATGGTACAATTAAGAGTTTTTTTCACGCCTACTCAGGTCATCTAATTCGATGATAGATAAATCGTTAGAACGGGCCACACATGGGTATCGTGTAAGTGAGAATTAGCGTATCAAAAGATAATAAAATTATACGAACATAACTTGCGACAACTTAGATGACCCAAATTTGGAAGTATCATGACGATAACGAAATGCGTGATCGGTAATAAAACGCGTGATTTTCGGCTAAGCGAATGCATGTGAACAAAGATCATACTTGTTCTCAAGCCAAGCGTCAATTATTTTCTCACATCCGTCAACGTGTCATTTTTTTCAACAACGTAAAAAGCTCGAGCGTTTTTCTGTCGACATTGTTAAAGTCTGATTATCAAACAATAAAAACCTTCAGAATACAAAAGCATAGCATATTAGCAAAAGCGTCTTTGAAAAGGGACAATGTGAGCGGAAACCAAATCAAGTTTATTATTTTTTTTTTATTAAATTTTCAAGAACCTTTTATTAAAGAAAACAATACAAAATATAGCGCAAACAGATAACAAAAAACTTAAGTCTATTCGCGAATCAAACGCACGGCAAAGGAAAAAAGGTTGCGGAGGAGAAAAATCCGCCGGGTGTCAGCGAAGAAGACCGAAAACAGAATGAATACAAAATGCGAGCTCGCTGCGTCGCTTACAAAAAAACAGGAAAATTCATCCCCACTTCGCAGTGGGTTCCGCGGGAACTTCAGGGCCTTGATGCGCGCATTGGTCACGCCCTCGCACCCCTCGTGTCCGCTCTCTCTCTCTCTCTTGCTCTCACGTTTTGTAGCCTTCCGAGCCAAGGTTAGCCCCGCGGCTTTCCTTCCCGTGCGCGACCTTACAAAACCCAGGAGCATGCTCCTCGTGAGGTCTAACAGCCTCCAGAAGCGAACTCCTGGAGCTGAGGGCTTGACGGCCACGAAGCGCCTTGCGCTTGTGCGCGTCTTAACTTCGAGCCGAGAGAGGAGGGGGAGATCAGGCAGCTCTAATTGCCAGCATCACTAGCTCAGTCCGAAGACGCTTACAATTTCTGTACCGCACATTTAGGCCATGTGATTTTTCAACTAAAGAAACACGTGTTGGGATTTCCCCAGAAAGCGGCGGCGGCCGTAAACCGAGGTCCGTGTCTCGTATTTTTATTTTGCGTCGCGACAGTCCTAATTAGGGAAACTGCCCATAAAAAGGGCCGCTATTCACTCTGCGCACGGAAAACGATGGACGTTATGGACCTAAGCTATGGACCTAAATACTTTAAAACCTAAAGTAAACAAGCGGACACGTAAAATTTTTATTATTGTGTTTTAACGCATTTCGTACTCTCTCAAAGAGAGATGATAATTGAAGACGAGTGGGCTTGCCGATAAGATTTATATTAGTTCAAGTACACAACACTTTAACGTTTTTGATGTCTGTCAGCGATAAGATTTTACTCAACTATCGAGTGTATCATATTGGACATTTAATGAGAGTAAAAACCTGAGCGGATGATCTTTTTTTAATTTTTTTGTTCATATAACTTGTGTCTAAAGAAAAGTTAAACACGTTTATCAAAGCCCGATAAAAACAAATAATTTTCCATCGGGCGTTCAATTTGCTCAACGGTATAACAATTGTTTCTAGCGTATTATTTATCACCGATGATTCAAAGAATCTTTTACATAATCTAACAACACCGTCATTCTAAACCGAAACAAATTAATTTCAGTAGCAGCAGTGAGATAACAATTATCAAATCGCAAGGATGACGGAGACATTGGACAAGAAGAAAGCTGAAGGTGGCGAGTCGTGCGTCGACAATCCTCCAAAGATTGAGACGTTCGACGACATTCTCCCACACATTGGCGAAGCTGGACGTTACCAATGGTTTTTATTCTTCCTCCTTTTACCTTTCACCATTGTCTACGCCTTCCTCTACTTCGCTCAATTCTTCATCACCCTTATACCTGAGGAATATTGGTGCAGAGTGCCGGAATTTGAAAATTCAACTCTCACGGATTGGGAAAAGTGAGTGCCTTGTGCATTAAAAAGATTAGAGGGCTTGCGGATTTTCGAGGCCTACGTGCTCTAGTTACTTCAATTTGAACATTTACCGTCATTCTGAAAAATCAAAAATTTCTTCTATAATAAATATAATATTAGAATGTGAATCGGTTCAGTTACAATTTCAATGAATCATTGACGGTGTACTTCATTTATCACTCGACAAGTGAAGTAATCGGGCCAAAAACTTCACAAATATTGTGAATCATCAACGCTATGGTGACTGGCTATAGAAACCATCTAAATCAATTCCTTCGTTTGATTTCGCGGAAACGAAAAATTGTGCAACAATATTTCCATGACATTATAGACAAACCAATCGACCTTTTCGTTTTGTTGCGAATGCGTATCAAGTGAAGTTTATTATCTCGTAAGTGTGTAATTTACGGCGATACTTCCGATTGCGAACCTCTCTCCGGCGATAAAAGCTTAAATGGTATATTTTAAGCGAGATCATCAATCGTCGTGGCTTTCTGAGAATAAGCTTAAAGTGTACGTGATCATTTCAACTGATATTGTATTGAACATACCTACTAGGAATGGATTTGCGGTGATAAATGAATAATTTGTAATCAATTATTGATTAGACGATTAATCATATTATGTTCCGTTTTTTTTCACAGAATACATTTGTCAGTGCCAGACAGACCGTATATAGAGACAGAAACTAACTTGACCTATTCACGATGTACAATGTACATCACGAATTACACGAAGGTGCTACTAACAGGCCAAAAACCTGGACCAGACACGCCGATCGCTAAATGCCAGTCTGGTTGGTCATTCAATCAGTCTAATGTGCCTTACCTGTCCATCGCTGCTGAGGTAATATGCGAACGTTCAAAAATCAATCTTAAATGCGCGAGTTGGCACATTAACCATTCCATAATCGCTCTATTTTTTGTTGCAATGACCTACTTTGAAAGTCACTTGAGTGTCTTAGGGCTATAAAAGCCAGTTTTTAAAATACCGATAAAATCTGGATTACAGCGGCGAGTTATTTTTTCTCTCGCTTGGCGCGACTGAAATGAAAATGGATCGTATGCATTAACGCGCGTTTGATAAGATCACGAGCGACATTTCAAAAGAATCAGGCTGCAACTTGCCATTTTGCAATAACTTTTTTCACAGACAGTAAGTTACGTAATATGTTGCTCGATACCGTCGACTTCGACGTTTGTCTTTGCAGTTGGAGTGGGTATGCGATCAAGCATATTTAGGCAGCGCAGCGCAGTCAGCTTTCTTCGTCGGTAGCATCGTGGGTGGTTTAATCTTTGGTTACATCGCCGATCATTACGGAAGATTACCAGCGCTTGTCGCCTGCAACGGAGTCGGATTTTTCGCCTCGATCGCCACGGCGTTTTGCAATAGTTTCTGGACGTTCGCAGCAGCCCGATTCGTCGTCGGAACTTCTTTCGACAATTGCTTCAACATTATCTTCATCATCGGTAAGATTAAACTTACGCAACTCGGCACTCGATCTACGCTTAAATATGTAACACATAGACTGCTTCTTTATAGCTCGAACCGTCTTGCTTTTTATGATTATTTTTCCACCTTTTTCTGTTCGTTGTTTTGATTTTTATTCACCTCGATTTTTGCCACTCGTTACATCAAGTTATCGAGTACGTGGGACCGAAGTACAGAACGCTCATGGCGAACATGTCCTTCGGCATATACTTCGCATTCGCCTCAAGTATATTGCCCTGGATCGCCTACTGGGTATCAAACTGGAAGATACTCAGCGCGGTCGCTGCGCTGCCGCTCGTTGTCGCCTTCGTCACGCCCTGGATCGTTCCTGAAAGTGCAAGGTAAGCTGATCGCGCTTATCTTTCAAATCGATCAATCACATCCTGGCGAATGGACGATACAAAAAAACAAATCTCCTCAAAGATGGTACATACAAAACGGCAAGGTGGACAAGGCGATCGAGATGTTGAAGAAGTTCGAGAAAGTCAACAGGAAGAGCGTGGCGCCGCAGGTCTACGAGGAATTCGAGAAGAGCTGCAACACCATGATCAAGAACGACAAGTCGAACAACAACTACACGGTGCTCGACCTGTTCAAACTGCCTAGGCTCGGACGCATCACCGTTGTCCTAGTCATTTACTGGTAACGCATATTCTCTCTCGAGCTCGATTATCGATCGTTAACTGTCACCCGAGTCATTCACGAGCGTTTTCGTCCTATCAGGCTGCTGATGGTATTGGTATTCGACGGTCACGTTTGGAACATGAAGCTCTTGCACCCAGACGTCTTTACCTCGTTCTCATTGGCCTCGATCACGGAGCTGCCGGCTGCCATCCTCTTAGCTCTATTCCTCGACAGATGGGGCAGACGTTGGATGGGTTTCTTCTCTATGCTTATTTGCGGCATCTTCTCTTACATCGCCATAGCGATGCCTATTGGTAGATTTATATTCTTTCCTTTCAATAACCCAATTTTCCAGGCGAGTTTCACAGAAATCATGTTAATGGTTTATATTTAAATTTCATTTGCAGGCGCACCTGCAATGACGATGGCTATATTAGCTCGTCTAGGCGTCAACATCTCGGCGAATATCGGTTTTCAGTACGCGGCTGAAATGCTGCCGACTGTCGTGAGAGCACAAGGCGTCTCGCTCATCCATATTATCGGATATTTCGCTCACATTATTGGACCATACGTCGTCTATTTGGTGAGTCGGACGATGATATCCTGCCAATGCATTGCGAGACTGAATTCTACATCGATCATTCTCTCGACTTGTTGCCTATAAAATAAACTAATGAATCTGATGAATATGTTTTAGGCGAATTTCCACAAGTCGCTGCCACTGATAGTCTTGGGCACTTTGTCGCTTATCGATGCCGCGCTCACGCTGACACTGCCCGAGACGATGGACCAGGAGCTGCCGGAATCACTTGAGGAAGGCAACGATTTCGGCAGACAGCAGAGCTTCTGGTGGTTCCCTTGCATCAAGAGGTAATATTCAAATTTTTTCGCTATATTCAATATAAAAGTCGTACATTTATAAATTACTTGACGTATTTAACACGATTCCACTTGCTGGCAAAGTAAATTAGATTTTCATAGTGAACTCGCTTTGATGTTACAAAGAAAAGTAACAAGTTACGTTCCGTTATAAATAAAGTTAAAGTGTTAGCAACGTTTTTACCTATTCTAGAACAATCTTGTTATTTTTTCTTCCCTGTACACAAAAGCATTTTAGTTTTTACCTAGATTCAACGTAAGATAAATAAATTTCTGATTTTATGCTCAACAGATCGCCAGAGAAGAAAAAAAAGTACCGAAAAACACTGGCAGGCGCGACGAACGCAGGTTTCAATCCAGGCAGTCTTCAAAGGATCGAATCGACGAGATTATAACAAATCCCAACCAGATAGACGTGGAAAAAAGTGCCGAGGACTGCGTTATAAATAAAGAAAAGTTCTGCTCTCTCTGTGCCAAGTGTGGGAAAGTGCGCGTTGCATAACGAAAGGATTCTTTTTTTTTTTTTTCATTGCTCTGCAACACGGAAGGACCATCTGTTTGTACGCATTTCGCGCTGAGGTTCGAAAGACAAAGAGCGTTTTAGTGAACTATTTTAGTGATTTTGTTCGCTGCAGAAAGTCGAGTGCAACGAAGTATTTTTCTGTTTCAAAGTGCTGTTTATCTTTTTCATTTTGTTTTAGTTATTTTCTTACTTTGCGGGTGTGTTTGTTGAATGGAAAAGACTGAACTCAACTGAATTGACGACGAACATTCCCGAGTGTGCCAAATTGTATTGTCGCAAGCAGCTTTTTTTAATATCAATACTTGCGTCTAGTACGTTGAATCGTATGAGTAGAGAGACCCATGAGTTTTTTTTAATCTTTTTTCTCCTGCATAGTTCTAATTCATTATTTCGCGTACTTATGGGGCTGCAATATGCCATCACGTGACGCTCGAACATTATTTTTTAGGCGGCTTGAATATGACCGACAATACGCCTTGGATCATATACATATTTTAGTTTTTTATGCTTTTTATAAAGACGAGATGTCTGAATTTTACTTTTTTTTCTACGCACACAAGAAAACGTAATAGACGATGAATAATAATGTCACTTGTTACGATTTTTAATTGTACATTTAGTTCTTATTTCGAATGACGCGTAAATATTGAAGCTCGTAACGAAGTGCAATCGATCGGAATCGGTTCCTGATGGAATGACGACTATGAGTGTTATATGTTCATAGACGTAATTTTGCATATAAGTATAATCGATACTGACAATGTATTTGTAATGAAATTTTGTATGGTAATTATAAACGAATTGTATTTTTCACGTTCAGTATGTGCCGTTGAATATTATGAGATTTGTTTCATGCAATAATTTGTTTTTAGTATTAATGATTAATATTATCAAGATGATGTTGATACCACTATGTTAAGATTAATAATAACGTTATATGATAATCGAAACACAATTGTAGTTCTTTGTTATATTATTTATCACTATTTGTTATTTGTCACTATTACTCACAATTTTATTAGCGATGATGCTAAGAGACGCCTCATTTCATTTTATTGGACCAAAAATCTTTTAATTCGACAGTTGTGTCAATTTGAGGACGTGACGTAGTATAGTGCAACGTCATTATCAATAGAAGCACACTTGCACGATAACAAAAGTTAAAAAAAAGAGACTTGTTTAGTTTTCTTTATTTAACTTTTTTAATAAAAGTATTTCCTTGCATATGGAGTCGCTTAGCTTTGAGATGATAATGACAGTTCGAAATACCGAGTTGTCGCAGACACTTTTCAGACTATGTAGCTTTGCAGGCTCGTTTCTGACATACATACTTAATTTTAACAGATGTGCGAACTAAAAATATCCTCGATAAGTTATTAACATTCCGCTTAAAAAACATTCCACAATTTCAAATGTTGAGGTATTCTCAGATCACTTTGTCTTGCGATTGTCTAATTTTTGAAAACAGATGCGATTGAGAAAACAACACGAACTGAAAGCAGACAATCTATTGTTACTAACAGAAACACGATGTAGGTGACTCATCGTATTCTTATGAGTACTTCGTAAACACTGAATTTTACAATTGCAAAAGCAACACGGGATCTTATCAGTAACTTTTCGCAATAATGAAAAATTATAAATCCGTAAGGTCATCACAACTGCAAATTACCAATAGCGATTGCCATGATATTGTCGATTAAAATGTAGAACTAACATCATCTTTTGCACAAGTGAGCGTGAAAATACCGAATAGAAAATATACAACTCGTTAGCTTATAACATTCAATCAATGTTTTATTCTTATTTTTATCTCACTATCTAAGATTTACTAAATTATTCCTCGGTCTTTTCGCAGATACGTACGAATAAACGTTCGTACACCAAGGCTAAAGATATGTGTCTATCAATGTTGCCGTGTGGAATATTTGTAAAATTGTATGTGTCATTTGGCAATCGAGGATAATTACGCGTATAAATTTTAAATGCAAAAATTATCATCCAAGTAAGTTTGGACAGATTGGTTTCATTAATTAGGTACGTTTTGCATCAATTTTAAGACGAGCTATAAATATCATTTTACATTATTTCTTTAAGAAATAGATTTTCCAAGGTATTTCTAAAGTTAACATTGCGTAAGTTCTTTAATGAATGATAATTCTTAATACTGCAAGTGCAGATAACAATAGAGATGAATTCATAAAATACAACGAATGTGATGAAATACAAAACTAGAAAAATATAACATTTCTTTATAATATTTTACAGTGAAAACTGCAACCTTGAAACTTTTAAAGCGATGTCTTTTTTTATATTCAGGCTACAATCTAATGGTCTATCATCTAACGATTACTTATTTAGTAAGTGTAACGTAACCATTCAACATCCGTTCTTTATAAAACATGTGCGAGTAATCTTAAAATATCATATCTTATTATTTGAAATTATGTTATTCTACGAATTGAGGTAACTTTGGTAAGATATTTTTTACTACGAACAAACTCATTGAAATTATTATTATTAACAAAATAAGTTGTACAAATAATCGTTTACAAAGTAAACTCTACTTGTATAATCCTAGTTGATGGATCTAAACTGATATTGAGCAGTTCGTGTTAGAACTGCTCAATGTAGTCATTAGCAAATACCTTAATTAGCTAAATGCAATATTAATTATGATGATAGATTCGCCTGAAATGTCTATATTAATATACTCGAAATAAAATTGGCAGTCTGAAAGCACTGTGTGAATTCCAGCGTACGTGTGGCTTATTATAGTTCAATGTACAGAAAATTCGTGAAATCAATCAAAAATTGACACTTTTGACAAAACGATATTAAACAGTTATATAACTCGGCGAAATCTCGTAATTAAAATTAATCTTGCACTGCAAGCACGGATACACCATTGTTTTTATATTCAATGTAAATCACAATGCAAACTTCAAGGAAAGAGAGAGAGAGAGAGAGAGAGAGAGAGAGAGAGAGAGAGAGAGAGAAAGCTAAGATAAAATCAGGAGCGTGATAAATGATAGCAAGGCACAATATACAATGCGTCTTTCAGTAGTGAGCTACTTCGTGGCGGGAGGTATTAAACTCAGCGTCTCGCAGTTATAAATTCACGCCTGCGATCGTGTATTAAGTCAGTCGATTTCCAGCGTTTTTTTCTCTAACCTGCGCGAGCCATTCTATATGGCTTACCCTCAGACTGTGCAATTGTGGCACGTGCAAGTGCCTTTCGTTGTATTTAAAGTTCGCAAGAGAACAATTCAAGAGATTGACGATCGTTTTTTTGCCGCTGATTAGTCGACGATTTTGTGAAAACAGTGCAATTTGTTTGCATTGTGTTGCATTCTCTTGATGATAAGATACATCAGCGATCGATTTATCTTGAAAAAAAGATAGTACAAGTCTTAATTTTAGATTATGATTTCGGACATTAAGTTCCTTTAAAATACATAATTACTGTAGGGGAAGATTCGATTTTTTTTAAGATTTGCAGAACACTCTACTTCAGCTTAAGTAAGTACTTAAAAGAATCTATGTACTTTGTGAAATTCAATTTAATAATTAAGTAAATGAAAATGTTCTTTAAGTGTAAATTTCATGTTCATAGGTAAATAAAGTCATTCTTATGTAGAAAACTAAACAAAACTAGTCCTTTATACGATTGATTTTAAAATACACTTTTCGGATTATTTTATTTTATATAACCACTCGTCATGAGAGTATCTTACATATAAAATAAAATTCTTTACAAATCAATTTACCTAGAATATCTTATCGTACAATTATTGTATTATAAATGCTTACTACAATGTTCGGTATGACATGAATATAAGTTCAAATATTCATGATGACATCTAGGTGTGTTAGGAATTAAATTACTTTGTTACAAGATTTTGCCATGTCTGTACCAAGTTTCATTTACCAAATAAATAGCATTTAATAAGAATACAGGCATTAAATGCTATGTATTTGTAGGCATCTTGAATGATTCCTTATGTTGGGTGAAAATAATATGAATATTCTTGACACAATTGTTTGAACTTTGTTAATAAAACTTACGACTATTTTCTTAACTTTATAGCATTTTAGTTACATTTTTCGGACAGACGTGTCTTTTTATCTTTCATTATTTCTTTCATGTACAAAATAAAATTTAAATGACACATCGATTGCAACTACATCATAACGCGAAGTACAATTAACTGTAAGAATTTCATCGTCATTTTGAAAACATAAATTTCACGTATTCAAAAACGTGTAATCATATTCTAGAAGGTAATTCAATATACTCGTAATTGTAAGAGAAGTTTAACAAATTTAATAGTTTTAATATTAATAAATTTATTGATTTCAATTTATGTGTAATTAATAATTTCCAAAGTAACAACCGTGGATAATTGACTACCTCGTTATATTATTACAGAGCGATCATTCATTGGCAAAATGTCGACAACGTTGGAAAAAAAGAAAGGCGAGGAGAATGAAAATCGACCGAAAATCGAAATTTTCGATGACATTCTCGTCTACATTGGCGAAGCAGGCCGTTATCAATGGTTCCTATTCTTTGTATTGCTGCCGTTTACCTTCGTGTATGCGTTCCTTTACTTCGGCCAATTTTTCATGATGCTAGTTCCCGAAGAACACTGGTGTAGAGTGCCCGAGTTCGATAATTCAAATCTCACCGATTGGCAGAAGTACGTATTCCATCACTCGCGATTACCGTAAATAAATATGGATTACATGTTTTCGAAAAGCAGATCTTCACTTCCGGAACAATTTTACCAGAATAAAACACGCGACTTGAAGCTACCGGATATTCTAATTTAGCCGTATTCTGAAAATAAAACAAAGAATTCGCGTGTCCTCGCGTGTATTTGTATAGACGATTAGCTTTTTTCAAGGCTTCTTTATCAACTAATTTGCTCATATGTGTTTAAATGAATGGCAATACGTTTCAATTATGGATATAGCACGTCACAAATACCGGGATATCAAAAGTTAATATTCGGAGAATGACGTAGATTATATCAATACCAACATGAACGATTACATGAGAAAAATTAACATGAAAAATTCAAATAAATGATTGAGTATTGTTGCCGAGGTAAACCCAGGTGCATTTAATGACGAATCAGATAATCATTTTCTTAATACTGTCATCAATAGATTAGCAATGACAAGTGGATTTATAATTGAAATGAAAATAATAGCGAAACTCAACAACCAACGATGCAATTATATTATTTAAAGAAAGAAAAATAAATTATATTTAATTATTTTATCGTAACGGATTTCAAAGTAGTTGTCATAATTTACTAATAAATGATTTCAATGCATCGTCTTCTATGAAAGAACAACATGTTATTATATTTTTCGTTGTTGTTATAATGAATTACAGAATAGAGTTATCAGTGCCGCCTAAATCACAAGAAGAGGATGACGCTGAAAGTCACGTCAAGTTTTCCAGATGTAGAATGTACATCGCTAATTACACGGAGGTGTTAATAACGGGAAAAAAACCTGGACCTGATACGCCAATTGGCAGTTGCCAATATGGTTGGTCCTTTAATATGACCAGTGTTCCTTACAAATCGATTGGTGCTGAGGTAATGTTCATTATCATCGTTAGATCAATTATTACAAGTTGTCCTTCACACACTGCAGCGCGGTTCAGTGTCGATAATGCATGTGACCTACTCCGCTTTTCATTCTATAAAATAAAATTATTAATTTCAATAAAACGTAATGTAGGCAATATCTTAACAATATTAATTCATTATAGTTGGAATGGGTTTGCGATTATGCGTACCTGAGTACCACAGCGCAGTCGGCATTTTTCGTAGGCAGTATGGTAGGAGGTTTCATTTTCGGTTACATTGCCGATCATTATGGAAGACTACCAGCACTCGTTGCTTGCAACGGAGTTGGCTTTTTCGCATCTATCGGTACTGCATTTACCAACAGCTTTTGGACCTTCACACTGAGTCGTTTTATCGTTGGTTTTTCATTCGACAATTGTTTCAATATTATCTTCATCATTGGTAATAACTTTGAGTTTCTGTTTATCTAAAAGCTAACATTTCTTACTTTCGATTTACTTGTACATTTTGTTCTTTCAGTAATCGAATATGTCGGTCCGAAATATAGAACACTCATGGCAAATATGTCTTTTGGAATATATTTTGCATTTGCCGCGACTATGTTACCGTGGATTGCATACTGGATCGCAGATTGGAAAATTCTCAGTATCGTTGCAGCACTTCCACTCGTTATTGCCTTTATAACACCATGGATTGTGCCTGAAAGTGCTAGGTATTTTTTAAAAATTTTTATTCCAAAACACTCTTATAAATATAATATCGATCTTCAAAATTTATGGTTGCAGATGGTATATACAAAACGGTCGTATAGAAAAAGCAGTGGAAATTTTGAAAAAGTTTGCGAAAGTTAACAAAAAGGAAGTGTCAGACGAGGTCTTTAAGGAATTTGCAAAAACTTGTAATAAGATGATCCAAAATGACAAGTCTAATAACGACTATACAGTGCTCGACTTGTTTAAGCTACCTAGGCTCAGGCGTATCACTATCGTACTTGTCTGTTACTGGTAAACATCATTTTATAAACAATTATGTTAATATCTCAAATCAAAACGCATAAAAAAAACATTTTTCTAGGCTACTTATTATTTTGATATTCGATGGTCACGTATGGAACATGAAACTACTGCATCCCGACGTATTTACCTCGTTTTCGTTAGCCTCGATATCAGAATTACCGGCCGCGATCCTCTTAGCTCTATTCCTGGACAGATGGGGTAGACGTTGGATGGGCTTTTTATCTATGTTCATGTGTGGAGTTTTCTCCTTCGTTGCCTTGGGAATGCCCATAGGTCAGCGCAGTTATTTTAATTGTGGAGTAGCACCAATAGTTTGACCTGTGTTTTCTTTCAAAGATAATTAATCCAGCACTATTTTCAGGTCCATGGGCAATGTCGATGGCTGTCATAGCCCGTTTAGGAGTTAACGTAGCAGCCAACATTGGTTTCCAATTCGCTGCTGAAATGCTACCTACGGTGGTAAGAGCACAAGGTGTCTCCCTTATCCACATTATCGGTTATACTGCTCATGTACTTGGACCTTATGTCGTCTATTTGGTGTGTTTACTTTTTGACTGAATTGAATTTTTAAGTGACTAAATAATAGAACTTAACCGATTTATTGCATTGCTTTAGGCAAATATCGATTCAACGTTGCCGTTAATTGTACTTGGTGCATTGTCATTCGTCGTTGCTGGATTGACGCTTACTTTACCTGAAACGATAGAACAAGAATTGCCAGAATCTCTTGAAGAGGGCAATAATTTCGGAAAAGAACAAAGCTTCTGGTGGTTTCCGTGCATTGTAAGGTAATGCCAGCTTTTATTAGCATTTTATTCAAATTCAGTGAACGTGTACTATATATTATTTTAATATTTAAAAAAAACTATGATGTAAAACTAATGTATAAAACAATATTTTTTCTTCAGTTCGTCGGAAAAAAAGAAGAAGTACAGAAAGAGGAACTTAAGCAGTGTAAATGCGGGTTTTAATCCAGGCAGTTTACACAGGGTCGAATCGACGCGATTATAGGAGTAAGAAACTAAACGAAATTTAAATTCTATGAGACATTCGTGAATTTACAATACAAAATTAGTCACGTCTTCGATTGTAAATATTCTATATGATTATGAATAATTATATAACATTCTTTTATAATGCCAAAATATAAATTTCATTCTGTGTTTCGTACAATCAACCTCATTATTAGCACAAAGTGGCACGTTTTCATTGTATTCGAATGTAATATTTAAATTATTAAGTGAATATTTTGAGAAAGTTAAATATATTAGCTTATGCCAATACCTCGATATGGATGAATAATATTAAATTAGAAGAAAAAATCCAAAAGATAAACAGGTCATTAAGATAAAAAAATTGATAAAGTGATAAAAGTTGAAAATAATTAATTTTTCATATTTGAATAATTTTTTAGGCACTATTTTTGTTGACAGACAAATAAAATCAATATTTTTTTTCATTAGAAATAAAATTAAATATATATTAGATATTGAACCTGTGCTTCCATTGTTCATGTAACGGAATAAAAGAATAAATGATTTTTGTAAATTTAATGAAATCTGCTTTTTTCTTAAATTAAGTAAAAAATAAGAACTTATATTGTCATTTATTTATTTATTTTATTAATGCTGTATTTAGATACTCTGAATTGGTCAATGCAAATAGTACTATGGAAAATAATTGAATAATGGTTCGTGATACGCTTTGAATCATAAATATTCAAGCTACGATAAGCGTGCACATTGCATTTTCGCCAATGATCAAACGGAAATATAATTTAAAACTGTGCAGTGTCTTTTCATAATTCAATAATATGTACCGGTACTTGAACATAATTGTTAAATGTTATTCTAGATTGGATTGTCAACATTATTATGTCCGACAGACTAAGTGCAATGGAAATAAAAAATGAAAATATTTTAATAATTCAGACATTTGATGATACTTTTATTCATGAATGATCGTAAATATATTTTGAACAATTATTGTAAATGACATTTTTCTGATAAAGTTAATTAATAATCTTTATATCAGCATCAGATATGGATAAAACGTATACTTCATGTCAAAGGTATGCCTGTCTACACTATATGAATCTCAAATCGGTCTTAAAAGGTAGCACCTAAAATCAGTTTTTTTATAATGATCGATAAACTAATTATGTTATTAAACAATTCATCGAATAAATAACAACTTTTGTTCTTGTCATTCGTTAGTTCGTACATAATAATGTCTTAAAAATAATAAAATAAATTTTGTGCTAGGCTGCAACTCCCTATTTGAAGTCGGGCTAAATATTATAAACAATACTTTTGAAAAAATTATTAATAGGCCAATCGTTAGTTCATCTAATATAATCTAGTAATATTGGCCTACTAATGATTTTTTCAAAAGCATTTTTTATAATTTTGTAATCCAATTCACACTCAAATGCTAGAGCCTAGCACCTATAACTTTTTTTATTATTTGTAAGGTATTATTAATTACTAATAGCATAATTAATTTATCAATTACTACAAAACAATTGATTCTAGATGCTGAGTTTTAAGATCCATCTCATACGTAATTTTTCCATGATTTTCATACAAACGTAGATATACAAATGGTTGCAGTTATTCAGGCGAACAAAATATTGTTTAGTAATAATGTAATGACACAAAAATATAAAAATAGAACGTTTTATTCTTTCATGAGGCCCTTACTATAAACTTAATTTTGCATGACATCTTTATTCTTCCGTTAAAGCTAAAATAATACCAATCAAAATATAATATCGGTATATGAAAAATATTCCATAAATACTACTATAAGAAAACTAATTATATCGGTTTTAAAACGTTCTCATCTTGACGTTCTTGATAAGTTATTTTAAATCTACATGGTAGTCTAGTCACTTTCGTTTTATTAGTCATTTTTCGATCGAATCAAAAGTCAAAGTAAAACGAATGACCATTATTGACACACATATTTTTCTACACATCTATCATGAGAAAAACAATAATATTGTTCTTGATCTTAATCGAAAATATTTTATATCAAAAATGTATAAATCACTTTATTTTATAACCATGATGAGTATTTCTCTATAATTTTATTGTATATTTCAGCACCAGTTCATAAACTACGTAATAAGATCAACTGTTATTTAATTCTCAGTCTTTTTTACATTTTTGTACATTTTCATATTGGTACAAGGAATCCACAAGAAGTTCTGGTTTCTCCCAAAGTTATTACCATCTTCAAGAGTATCTGGCATCTGCTGGTCCATTGTTTCAGGCAATGTAAGAGTCAAAAAAGCAGTAACGAACGACAAGCTTCCTAAAAGTACCAGCGGTAGCCACGGTTTGATATTTGACTAAAAGAACATAAGCATTTTATTAGAATAAATTGTGTAAACTTTCCTTGACTAACAAATATGTGAACCGATAACAAACCATATAGATAACACTGGGCCCCAAAGTATGTGCTATGTATCCGATGATATGTATAAGCGAAATTCCTTGCACTCTAACGACAGTGGGCAGTAATTCTGTAGATTGCTGAAATGCAATGTTGATTGCAACGTTGACTCCTAGTCGAGCTAAAGCAGCCATCCACATTGCTGATGCACCTGTAACGTTTCTTTATAATTAATATTGATAAAAATAATCTTAATAATAGTGAAATATTATTACCGACCAATGGGCATTCCTAATGCAATAAAAGAAAAGACTCCGCACATAAACATAGACAAAAAACCCATCCAACGTCTACCCCATCTGTCCAACAAAAAATTGACGACAATGGCAGCTGGAAGTTCTGATATTGAAGCTAACGAAAATGATATAAATACATTCGGATGTAATGACTTCATGTTCCAAATGTGTCCATCAAATATAAATACTATCATCAACCTAAGATATGTCTTACATTAAAAAAAGTTATACAAATAATATGAATGGTATGCTTGTTCCAAAGTTGCTTATATGTTTACCAGTTAACGATAAGTACCACAGTCATTCGTCTCAGTCTTCCTAGTTTGAATAAATCTATCATAGTACCATTGTTATTAGATTCGTTATTCTTCATTGCATTACAACTTTTCGCAAATTCTACATAAACTTCATTCGCAATGTTTTTTTTATTGACTCTGGCGAGCTTCTTTATTACGTTCACAGCCTCGTCTATACGACCATTTTGTATATACCATCTGAATTAAATTTTAATATTGTAATACTTTAAATTGTCAGAATAATATCTTGGAATTTTGTTATAAATAAGCATTGTTACCTGGCACTTTCCGGAACAACCCAAGGAGTTACGAATACAATAGTAAGCGGAAGTGCAGAGATTATGGTAAGTATTTTCCAATTCGATACCCAATACGCAATCCACGGTAGTAAACTTGCGGCAAAAGCAAAATATATTCCTAATGACATATTTAACATTAGCGTCCTGTGTTTCGGTCCTACGTATTCCATTACTGAAATGTAAAATATCGATATTTATCATATATGCAAACCAACAGAAACGAATAGGATTTATAATTTATACTGATAACTATAATAAACAAGGTTTACAAATCATACTAATTGATTGCAAATATTAAAGAGCATTTACAGACTGTATATTAATTACCAATAATAAACAGAATATTGTAGCAATTATCGAATGCAGTGCCAACAACAAAGCGAACAAGAATAAAGGACCAATAACCATTGCAAAATGGTGTGCAAATCGACCCCATAAGTCCGACTGCATTACAAGCGATTAGAGCTGGTCTACGTCCGTAGTGGTCAGCAATGTAACCAAAAATGAAACCACCAAAAATGCTGCCTATGAAAAAAATCGACTGAGCAGTCGTGCCAAGATGCGACTTACTGCATACCCATTCCAACTAAAAAAATAGTTAAATATTTTTAGTTTCTGTATAGTTATTCACAATAATTCATCTTTAAAATTATTACATAGTCTTCTGCAAAAGCTCAAGCCATTTAAAAGCCTCGAACCCATCCGAATTTTCAGAATAGTTCAAGTCATCAAGTCTATCATAAGCCTTCTGACCTTCTTAGCTGTTGCGTCCCTGCGTGGTTTCAATCTGATTGATGTAAAAAATAAAATCAGTATTTCACCACTTTTTTTTATACGCAAACAAAATCAAATATGCTCAGAGCCGCTCAAAAGGCTCTGAAAGCTCAGATTCTCGAAAACTTTGAAGAACCAAACTTTTTAAGATTCTGCATAAGACTAATAATAAGTCAAAAATGCTACTGATTACATGTAAGAACGTTATACTACTGGATCACATTCGATTACTTTTGAGATTGCGGCAATTTGAATAATTTCTCAAAAAAATCGAGCACTTTATTTAGATCAAAATGTAATATATAAAAAAGAATTACCTCAGCACCAAGCGATATGTAAGGAACGCTAGTCATATTAAAGGACCATCCATGTCGACAATCTCCAACTGGTGTATCATGTTTTGGTTTCTGTCCAGTCATTAGTACTTCCGTATAATTTGTAATATACATTTTACAGCGTGAATACAAGACGTAACTTTCATCAGCATCGCCAATGTAGGATTTCAGCGGTATGGATAAATTTATCCTGTAGACAGTAAATTCACATGACACTGCGCATTATTCATGATAATTACTAAATTTGAAAACCTACTTTTGCCAATCTGTGAGATTCGTCTCATCGAATTCTGGTATTTTGCACCAATGTTCCTCTGGTATCAGTGTTAGGAAATATTGAACGAAGTATAGAAATGCATAAACTACCGTAAAAGGCAATAATATTAAAAAAAGAAACCATTGGTATCGTCCTGCTTCGCCGATATATGGCAAAATGTCGTCAAAACTATCGATTTTTGGTTGATTATTCTCATCTACCTCTTCCTCTTTATATTCTCTAACTTCCATGTCGACAAATAAAGTAGTTTAAATTCATAAACTTCTATTCTTACTGCGTCGTGCTGTCTATATTCCAAATCGTACAAAAAGATGATTGTAGCTAGATAAATAGTTATAATCATTCATTATTGTTAATAGATTTATCTTTATATGGATAACATACAAAGTATTAACTTGCGCGATTTATGTGTTCACAATTTTTCTCGGTGAAAGTTCTATCTAGATCCTAAGTATAGAGAAGTTAGACGCGGTAATTTCTTTATTCTTTCAAGAAGACTGCTTCACGCGAAACTATTGTTTTTATAGAGAGTAAAATAAGATGTGCATTTTACAATTTCATCAATAAAATAATTTTAAAAAAGCGATAAATACTTTAGTAAATAGCAATAACTAATAAGTGATTCTTTACAGTTTTCTTGATAAATAATAATTCACGATATGTTGTGAAACTTCAATATCTATCTTATGCATTCTAAGTAAAGGCAACTCACAAATAAGTCATAAGCTTTTCAAAAATTGAACAGTTTTCCTGACATTTTGAGTAAATTAAAAGATCGCGACTGACTTATCAAAATTTGTAAAACGGCTAGAACTATCCAAGTATTTAAGCTATCAGACGTAAGTATTACAGTTTTGGAACTCCACTCTTTTGATTTTTGCAAGTGCTCAAGCTTGCAAGCACGTAGATCCCTATTAATAATAGAATGAGTACATCCACATGCAAATTTATGAATGTTGAATAGAATTTATAGAACATACTACCAAATCATATCGATTTCCGTCAAGAATAAAATTATCAAACATTTATTAGTATCAATTATTAGTATTAAAATTATCAAACAATTATTATGATATCCCTACGTATGTCAACAATCTAATTCAGAATAGTTCCGAAAACGATAAGAAGAGCATCTATAATTGTGGTGTGACAATAAATACATAAGCGAGGCGAATTATATATAGTTTGACGCTAAGATTCTTTGTCAAGGAGAGTTAAATTGTAAAATAAGCAATAGAATATTGACAAGATGCCAGGAGTAAAGACGAAAGTAAGTAATAGTGAACTTGGCCTTGTGTGTAATACGTACGGTTAGACGACGGACGATAAGAAAAATGTGATTCACCGAAATTAGCATGTGGTGAGTTGCAAAGAAGTAAGGTTATATACGTTGCGCACACACTTCCTCGGCATGGTCTCTCACGTCCGTGCACTTGAGCAACACTGACTTTTCGGCAGTGTTGCTACAACGTGAATCGCATTTCGAAATAGAATATAGCTAAGCGCCGACTTTCCCTCTCTCTTTTCAACGGTGCTCACTAGCGCGTTTCTCTCATACTATACCTATCACACACGCGCGCGCGCATGCACACATACACACTTCGTTTGTAAATTAGCTGCAGCTGTTTATAGGCGGGCGCATAAACAATTGTGCAATCACCAATTACAAAAGCATGTGGCTATATGAAGTCATGTTAAAACGATCATCTAGTTTTTTACAAGTTATGAAAAATGTTATGTTAATTTTTAGTCTTCATATAAGACTTAATATAAAAACTGATGATTTTCTTTGATCAATATTTGATAGAATGGTGCTGAGTGTATTTCATTTCAGTACATGCAAGAAAATATTAATTTTTTTATTAAGTAACTTCTGGCGTTGATTAAAATAAAAGATTAATTTAATTTAAAACCGTTTCTGATAATAATAATAATAATAATAATAATAATAATAATAATAATAATAATAATAATAATAATAATAATAATAATAATAATAATAATAATAATAATAATAATAATAATAATAATAATAATAATAATAATAATAATAATAATAATAATAATAATAATAATAATAATAATAATAATAATAATAATAATAATAATAATAATAATAATAATTGCAGTATAGACTAATGAACATTCCAATGACTAAACACAATTTAATTTCAATTACAAGTATATATATGAGTAAACGAGTGAGTAAGCAAATATGTAGAAAAACCATATTGACAGTAAATGCTGACTCTATTCCTCGATAGTTTGGATAGTCATCGAGTCAATTTATTTTCAGTAATTGGAAAAAGACAATTTATTATAAACTATACAACGAAATCTTTTTCACAAAAGAGTATACTAGCATATTATGATACTTTTTCCTATTTTTTGCTATGAACATATATTTGGAAAAAATGATAAAGCCACTTAATAAACAAGCATTTAAGTTTACATTTCAATATTTTATTGAATTGAATATATGCAAGTTTTACGTAAATATCACAATAACAAGTCAGGCGTCGATTCATAATCTACACGTTAAGTAAAAATGTTTTAATAGCAAACTTTTTACAGATTCAGTACGAAAATTCTTTAGGGTTATTTGGTTGTTTTTGAGAAAATAACAAATGAATCCCATACATCTTACAAATAGCCACGTAACATCTAATCAGAAAAAAGAAATCTTTAACACAATTGGTAATCACCGTTGCTCGAGTTACAAGTACAGGAAGTTCAAAGGCACATTTTTTCCATGACTAATAAATTATAAGCTCTATTTCAACTGGTCTTTGGCTTAGTTCTTACATAACATACGTATGCATAATGAAGCGCAGTAAGAAACTCGTTACAAAGCTCTTTATAAAAAATCTACAAACCAGACTCTAGCTATAAAAAACCGTCTTTAGTGAGCAAACGTTTGTGCATCGCAGCACATGCAAAAAATTATTATGATCACAAAACAATTCCAACCCGACGCGTCGTTCATCAAAGTTTCGTCGTATGATTATTACTGTCATTACTGTTCGTCGAAGTATTCTTCTTGTTAGATCTACCGAAACACGGCAGATTCCAAAAGGACTGATCCTTTCCAAAATCTTCACCTTCCTGCAGAGTTTGCGGTAGAGCTTGGCCAAGTGTCTCCGGTAGAAATAGCACGAGAATGGCACTAGTACACGCGACGCACGATATTATCACCATCGGGAGATTGAGCCACAGCTGAGCCTAAAATTGCATTGTCGAAACTCATTCAACTGCTGAAAAACAATAAACATGTCTCGTGTTCTCTTACGCTATCGACGATGTAAGGAGCAACACCGTGAGCGAGAATGCCAAATATGTGGATCATCGCAACACCTTGGGCGCGCACCGGCGTCGGCAATAATTCCGCCGCGTATTGAAGTCCAATGTTAGCTGCCATATTCAGGGCGAATCGTGACGACACCGACATCACTAACTTCGTTTGCTCTGCAATTGTTCGAGAAAGGCAGTCGTCTAGTTTTTATGCCCGGCAAACGTTATTATTGCCGTACCTGATGGTAGAAGGAGTTCAGCGATACTGAATGCTGTGGTCGAAGCCATGGTGATGAAACCGCATAGTCGACGACCCCATCGATCGAGGAGTACGGTGAGCAAGATGCCAGCTGGCAGTTCCGTGGCACAAGAAACCGAAAACGACACGAACACTGAACTCTCTAGTAATTTCAACGAATAGACGTGACCGTCGAATGCTATCACCGTCAACACCCTGTACCAGTCAATTGCTCAAATAATTGTTTTCTCTCATTATTATTATTGTATAAATATTTTTCACAATTACGTACCAATAGCAGGTTAACAAAATCGTCGTTCTGGCTAATCTCTTCATCTGAAAAATGTCAGCGAGATTGGCTGATTCCACCTGATGTTCCGACGAATTTAACTTTCTCTGCGAGCATACAGTTTTATCAAACCTCCTCCAGGTATCTCCGTGTCTTTTTACGGGTACGCAAAGTTATACAAAGAAACGCGCAACATGTGTACGGGCAGAAAAGGTACTCTTTTACTTACGTAAAATATGTCGTACAGATGCGGATCGGGCTTGGCTCCGTTCACACTGGCGATTCGCTTGAGCTTCTCAATAACCTTATCCGACATACGATTCGACACGTACCATCTGCAAAAAGGATCAGAGAACGACCACGTGTACGTTTTTTCTTTTCTTTCGGAATAATGCCGTCTTACCTCGCGCTCTCAGGGAGTATCCAATGAGTGATGAAGCAGCTGAGAAGCGGCAAAGCACTGACGTAACAGAGAATGCGCCAGTCGGCTATGTAATAAGCAGCCCATGGCAATAAGGTACTGCCGAGGGCAAAGTATAAACCGAAAGCAATGTTCACCACCAAGCTTCGTCTTCTTACGGCCATGTATTCTAATACTGCTCAGTCACATTTTAACGGATCACAACGTAATAACATTTTCAGAATAACGAAGCAAAAATAATTTCACGTTTGGAACGAATAACTTAAAATTGAAATATCGAGTTACCTATGATCAACGGAATATTAATCACGTTATCGAAAGCCAGTCCCGTGAAGAATCTCGCGATGACAAAAGTCCAAAACGTCGATGTCCAAGCAGTGGCAAAAGAAGCCAACAATCCACAGCCGGAGCAAAGTATCAGAGCTGGAATACGTCCACGATGATCAGCGATCCAGCCGAAAAGGAAGCCACCGGTAATCGAGCCGCAATAGAATATCGTCTGAGCCGTTGAGATGAGATAACTGCTTTCGCATACCCAATCTAGCTGATCGCCACACATCACAAATGCTCAATTTCCATTTCTAATCATCATTATTCTTTTGGTGATATCAAGGAGAGGAAAGCAATTAGGCGATGGAGTTAGATATTTTGAAAATTTCTTTTGTCCATTAAATTTTCACCAGCAGTTGAATGAGTTGAAAGTAAAGGAAGGATTAATTAGACTTCAAGGTTATAATTGAGCTTCAGAGGAAATGTAACTAACTATTTTATCTTAATTAAAAGTAATTCATGGGTTCCAATTACGTATAATTTTAAGATGTGACAGCATTTCGTTACAGCATTCGCTTTGTCGTCTCGTGTTGTACGTATTTATGAGCCATGCGATACGCCGGTTAAATAAAAAAACATTCGCAACGAAGGATCGCTAAAATTTTCTCGACACAAAGCTTTCCGTAAGAGCAAGTTGCGATATTTGGAAAACAAATCAATAATTCGTATCGGTACTTCACCTCGGCACCAATGCTAGCATACGGGATTTGCGTAAAATTGTACTCCCAAGTTTCGCACTCGACAGTCCTGTTGGTGGTCCAAGCGGGCAAGTGAATGTCACGGTTGCCGTTGGCTAGGACAGCCGTAAAATTCAGATCTTTCCGGCGACACGTGTCGTAGAAGGGATATTCCTTTGATGGTGGTATCGCTGCTTCTATCCTGCAACGTTTAACACTCGAGTCATCGATATGCAGGGGCACGTTTTGCGAGTAGGTTGGAGTCGATTAAAGTACATTCAATTTGCATAGCAATTAGAAAATTTGATTGCACTCGCAACTATTACGATAAGTTTGATTTGCCCTTAGTAAATAGATCGTTAACGTGCGCATCTTAAGAAACAATAACGACAACTGTACACTCACCTCTGCTCAGTAGTAAAACTCTCCATAAGCTCCGGAATTTTACACCAGTGCTCCTTCGGCACGAGAGTAAAAAAAAATTGTGAGAAGTAGAGAACAGAGTAAGCAACGGCGTATGGAAATAATGCAAGAAGTAACAGTAATTGGTAACGACCAAAATCGCCGACGTGTGGTAAAGCATCGTCAAAGGATTCAAGTTTTGTTGGTGGCCTCAAAATCGTATTTTCATTCGGTCCTTCCAACTCTACTTCCTTTATCTTTCTGTAATTTCTCATTTCTATCTTTTCGGCCCCTGGCGACTTTTCTTCTTTCTGTAAATCAAACAATAATCATAAAAGAATTATCATATTTAGTTTGTATTGAAAAATACAATTCTTTTTTATTTCTACAAAATATAAGATTTGAACGACCATTCGTATGGATGAGACTGAATTTTCATTAAAAAACTTGAACATGATAAACCAAAAATCTCACCAAAGATTGTTTGCACTAAAACTTAAATTGTTGGACGATCAATCTCAATTAAAAGCATTTGAGCATTTAGCTCTGTAGGACACTGTTTATTTTCCATGATTGAATCTGATTCAATCTACAAGCAAAATAGTCGTAATATTTCTATACGCGTTCTTTTATAAGTAAATAATGTTCAATACTACGACTTTTAACATATTCAGCAAAATGACTTTCATGTCTTTTCTGTCTCAAAATAATTTTAATATTAAATCAACATTATAAATGTGATCAAAACCGTTCAATATCGCAACATGAATATGATCTTGACGACTAATTCGGGAGCTCTGATTCTTGGTCATATGCATCGCTGACATCGTAATTAATCTGCACTAGTCGCTAAATTACAACTTACGCAATAGGAATAGTCGTCTTCATAACGGCATCGCGATCAGAATCATTTATTGAGTACGGAAAATGCACACAGCAGCGGGATAACTGTGAATGTCTTTATTATTGCGTTGAAAAAATGTTTAACAAGATTTATTCGTAAGATTGTCTTTTCCAAACTTATCAATTTCTATTAACATTCATATTGCTTTCATTCATCTAATCTACTACACCTTTCAATTTATAAGAATTATTTTATGAATAAGTCAATGAATTTACATGTGAATGGAACGATAGAAAATTTTATAATTTGATAATTCCTCTTGCTTATATTTCTGATTATTTATCGGGTACTGCAATACAGTAGCCAAGTAAAATTGAATTTTAGGAAAATTACAGGTTTTTCCACTGAACTGAACTTTTATCAAACAAAATTGATTGCGTTTTGTAGTAAAATAATTTAAGAGGTAGTGAGTTTTCCATTGCAGTTTATACAGTCATTTGAGTGTTATCCTTTTAGTAGCTAGAATAATCAAAATCAATAGACCACATACTATCGTTATTACCATCGTCACATTTTCTTCAGCTACCGTATCCATATTTGAGATAGTTCGATGTAAATATTGTGTCCAAGTTGAAACGATTTTCCAACTACAGTTTTCTCTTGGCTTGTAAGCACTTAGCAATCAGTCTCTAATGAAGGGGTACAAAAAGGAAGCTCAAACGCAGCACCAACGCGAATCAAGCGGCATGGTTTTCACGACGCGACTGCACACAGTAGTTAGGTGGCTGACTTCGCGTGTCTAACAGCACGGGGCAAGTGGGAGGGGGGAAGACTGAGTATACAGTTCTTTCCAAGTCGATTACAACTATACACTATACCTTGATCTAGTACATGGGTAAATTCAATCATTGAATACGTCAAGCGATTAAACGTAGACTTTTGTTGTCGACCGTACGCTTGTGTTTCGTAATTCGGACAGACCTGTTTACGATGGAAACAAGTAAAGAAGATTGCTCGAGAGTGAGCGTCAGCGAGATACCGATCCCTCGTGCGAAAGAGGAAAGCCAAAAAAATGCGCGAATAAACGGGAAATCTATTGCGACTGCGGAACAATTCGCGTTTTCCTTTATGTAATTTGCCTCGTGATAATTAGACGTGCGATTGTGCCGACAGTCTTATGCTTGATTGATTATGCTTCAGTGAATTGATTAGACACGGCTAGTATAATTAAAAATTATAACTTCGTTGTGAAATTAAAAATTTTCGCACTTTCGACAAGTGCTAAAGAAAAGTTTCTGTACAAAGCTATAGACAAAAAGTAGATAACGTAAAGAAAGAAATTTCCGCTATAGTAACACCTATGCGTTACAGGCTGATGCAACATAAGACACATACTCGTATATAGACTTTCGTTTCAATATCCAGAGCATTTTATCATCTCGATAAATGTCGTTGGCTCGAATGTCCATTCCCACAACGTCAATTTCGTCTGTTCGCGAGTGTAGCGTAAAAAAATTGTCTGGAACGGTCACTTCGGCAAGCTGGTGTCTCGCAGCTCCAAAATCCAGCTCGGTATAAGCCAACCTCGCTGAATTCATGTATTATAACGTTAATGGTGCTTGAGTACATCGATCGCTTTCTCTGTTTTGTTTTTTTATTCCGATAGAGCGAGACGTCGCGAAGCCAGATCAGGTGTCTTGCGACGAGGCTTCATGCGGGATGGTGCGATGAAGAGAAAGAGAGAGCGAATCTTAACGGTGTTGTTTATTACTGCGGCATTGGATTTCTCTCTTTCTCTCTCTCTCTCTCTCTCTCTTGTTACGATGCACATAAGCTTACGAGCAAGCACGTAATAATAACATTGACAGGCTATTTATAAAGTCTGCTCGCTTGCGAATTTATCAGCGTAGCAATGATTCACACCCCAGGGGTAATGGCTATCGTAATTGTCTTCTTTATTGTAGAACAACTTTTGTTGCTTCGTTGAATAATTTGTTATTCAATTGTCGGCTCGATGAATAACGTAAGTGCAACGTTTGCGAAATCACGCGACAAAGTTTGGTTTGAAAGGAGATTCGCAACCCAACGCGCATGAGACTAACTGTTACTGTTACCCTTCGCAGGGTAAGAAAGAGGAGAAAAAGAAGGGGCTGTTGGGGAAAGGTCAACGTATTATAATTGCTCGGTTGCGTCGACGTACTTTAACTTGCATACGTTTTCAACTTAGTATCTAATTATTTTGATATTTTGCAATAAATAAATGAACGCCTGGATTGGCGTGATTCATATAAATAAGAAAGATTATTTGTTAAGTAATATTTTTACCAACATCAATCAAGGAATGAAATGTCTGCATATTTGGAAACGTTTTAATGAAGAGGTATTATACTTTCTATGGTCTTTTAAAAGATGAGGGCGCAGGGGATTGAAGCCTTTAGGCCAACAGATAAAGTTGACTTGCGTCAGTCAGCTTGAGAGAAAATGTAGTCGCCAGAGGGAAATTAGCGACGTCTAGTATGACTGTCCTTGACAGTAACGTTTTTATCCACGACAATACACATCTAAATTTCTAGCTGCGTTGAAAGTCTCGTGTTTAAAAGCTCACCTTTATATCAAACCATGGAGTCGAACCCCATCTGACGATGATCTATCAGGCACGTCGTCAAAAAAATATCCGCATAAAGGGTTCAATTGCTCATCATTCACCCGTGCACTTTTTCTGAAAATTTAACGCGAAGTAATGAGAACAAGCATGTACTCATAATAGACGTAAAGAAAAAAGCAAAACAAGGAGCACAATAAAAAGTGACTCGTGCGAGCAACTTATACAACGCGACTGCAGCGTCAAAGGGCTGAGAGTTGACTCGGTAACGCCATATAACGGCCACGGCGCTGCGCGACTTCTTTTTTTTTGTTCTCGCTCTAGTTGCTCTCTCTCTCTCTCTCTCTCTCTCTCTCTCTCTCTCTCTCTCTCTCTCTCTCTCTCTCTTTCTTTCTCTCTCTCTCTTTCTTTCTCTCTCTCTATCTCTCTCTCTCTCTCTCTCTCTCTCTCTCTCTCTCTCTCTCTCTCTTGGTTTACCGAGATCTTTCTGACGTGCCTCATTTATTCATTAGAGATATCGGTGTGTGTGACCAGACGGTTCAAGGGGATGATAATCGACATTATGAAAGTCGACTACTTTTTTCCTTAATTATATTCAGCGGTTCTATTAAAAAACAATAAACATTTTGCTATTTCAGTGTGAAAGCACCAATATTGATTATATTTGTCAACAAAATCCAGTATATTATGACGAAAATATTGAAGCTTTGAGTTAGCATCAAATTTAAAAAAATTTTAATTCGTTCATATCGACATGTGGAATGGTGCACGCCTGGAAGAAAATTTGTCAAGCATTCCTAGTTGGCAAAATACGAGTTTCAAATAAATTTTACCATAAAAAATATTTTATATTGTAGAAGTTAGTTCTTTCATATTAACGTTATAGCGTACGATGGAGAACTGGTTATTAAATAAATAATTTTTTGACACAACGCACGTGATTATACCGTTAACTCTACTTAGTTATTAGTCATGTAAAACTTGATAACTTGAGTACTCTGAATGTAATTAAATAATGAATATTTTTACAAGCTACTGATATAAATATTCATGAGTACTAATAAAATAAAATTAATAACTACGTACGTATTCGTTCGTTAATGCCGTAGTTTATAGTGAGAGAACTGCTTAAAAGGTCCATATCCACTGGATTCGGCAAAACTATTTCTACATATATCACTTGTAAATTTTCCGGTTAGAATATTTTCTCTGTCATGAGCTTCATAATTCAACGTGTAATTGATACACAAACTACATATCACAATAAGCACAAGGTTAAAAGAAATCAGTTCGTAGATAACTCGAAACCCATCACTCTCAGATGACGCGAGTTTATTATATGATGAAGCCCACAGAAAATTTTCAAGTGTCCACTGTACGTATCGCCTCAGCGATATCTCCTCACAGTGCATACTCTGTTAAAACCAAGCGTTAATGCCCTTGACGCAGCGTATACGATCAGTACTCTGTCATCCAAACCACAAATGAAGCGAACGCGTTGGCAACATTCGAAACTATTATCGAGGTCGACTACTGGCTACTGATGAGGCTTGCCTACCATTTGATGCAGCTTCCTGTCGTTAATTTGAAGATCAATTTGCACGAGAATATCAATATTGTGATTGGGAGTAAATAATTAAAGGGTCGGTAAAACCATTTACGGATAAGATGACGAGAAAATAAAGGTACAATCTACTTCTCGTTTCATAGGTTCTCTAAAATATCTATCAACTTATATTGGTTTGTACACACTATTCCAACGCTAATGTAGATAAATAGATAAATTTATCGTCTAATAATTATAATTTGTATACTTGTCAAAATACGCCATCTCCTGTGAATGACATCAACGATATTTGCTGGGTAAAGACGACAAATAATAAATATATTCATTTTACTGAAGAACTTAAGTAGACCGTTGTCAGAAACAAGATATGCAATGAAATAATTAGTGATTTAATATTATTATCACATTATTACTAGAATAATTAACAATTCAGTATTATACAAATACATAAATATTTTTTATTATAGTCATAATCTAAAAATTATATATATATATATATATATATAAAACAAATTGACATACATTAGAAATTTACAAAACAAATGGAATAAGCTCGTTTTCTTTGCCATTTTGATTAAGATATGAATCATGATTAATTACAATTACAACATAGCTACCTAGAGTTTATTTACGTATAATTCATTAAATTCTAAACTTTTCACATAAAAACTTATGGTCTAAAGTAATACATTGGTACATTGTGCATTCCTCTTGTCACAAAAATCATCACCCACGCAAATTTTGATTTCGCAACAAACATTCAGAAAAATAACAAAAGGGAATATTAAAAAATCAAAATAAATTTTGTACTAGTAAAAAAGAAATATAATACGTATAAAAATCAACAATCCTCTACAACATACATCGCTGTCCTCCCATTTGACTCATCGGTAACCGTCATTTTGTAAAATACAAAGATACATTACTATATAAAAGAGAGAAAAATAGCATGAGAGATATGCATTTTTTCAGCGTTGAAACGAGCAACAACGCTTTCTTGTTGCATTGAAAGACGCTAAAAATATACAGAAATCAAAATTTATACACTCGCCGGTCTACTTTCAGAGAGTCGTCATTCCAAAAGTCGTGTATAAACAATAATCGTTACAACAATACTTATATCATTAGACATGTCGAGGCAACTCGTAATATTATTATTGGTTTTAGTAAAGCGCGATGCAGAAATGTCGTCTGCTCGAGGCAAAAGAACAAAGCAATACTGTGCAATGGTCGTTTTCATATATCGCTGAGCTTCTTCCTCGTATAGCACTGCTCGGAAGACGCGAGAGTCCGTCAAATTTCTATATCACAATTCATCGAAATCACGTGGAAAAGCGTCTCCCCCTCGTCTGGGAGATCAGCGGTTCCTAGAGTCGTTCCTCCTCGACCGGTGGCGCTGCACCCTTTCGCGATCTGACGCTCGATCTCTGTATCATGCTACTGCGGAAAGTCTCACCGCGAAGTGACGCTCGCCTCGACGTACGGAACGTCGTGTTTCGCTTAATAGTAGGTGGCGGAGTTTCCGTATCCTCGGCTTTCCTGCGAAATTAGAGAGAATTTTGTTTGAATTTTTCATGGTACTTCTATAGACGCGAACACGATTTGACTGTATGTCGCCTGTAAGCTTACTTCCAGATCTGTTTCAGTGCAAAAGTTTGCAAAACTCAGAATACGGCTTACGCGTTTTCAACGCGCGTTCTCATGCAAATTTCGACATATTTATTGAAAATGGCCAATTTCACTTACTTCATTAAGCACGGCATATCCCAAATGCCTTGATCCTTGCCAAACTCCTCGCCATCCTGTAGCGTTTGCGGCAAATCCTTGTCGAGAGTTTCAGGCAGAAACAGCGCAAGTCCACCGCCAATAATTCCCAAAACACCGAGTACAAGTAATGGAAGCACGTCCGAGATGACGCTAAGGTAGACGACAAATGGCGCGATAATACTGGCTACGTAACCCATTATGTGAATCAACGCAACACCCTGGGCACGAACAACTGTCGGCAAAAGCTCGGCTGCATATTGAAGACCGATGTTGTAGGATATGTTGACGCAGAATCTGCCGAGAATCGCCAGCGAAGCCGAGTAGATGTCTGTTGAAGTAGAAAACAAAACATATCGATTGATTTATTGGATTTTAAAAGTTTTGCTGTAGCGACACTGTACAACACATTGCCCCGTACTCTGAATGCAAGACCCGAACGGACTTCGAAATGCAATTATGCAAACGCCTTCGTGATCAGCATGACAGTCAATCCTAAAGCAATCGTGCAGAAGCGTTTTCAAACGCGGCATATGATTATTTATTCGATTTGCAGAGGGACAACAGAGCAAAAATTTATACATGTAAAAGGCAGTTGGGGAAAATCAAAACTACATTGATGAATGTTCAAAAAATTGATTTGCATGACAAATAATCTGTAAGTCATACTAATAAATATTTTTTTTAATTATTATCTAGTAGCATAATGACATTGGCTATTCTGGCAATCCGATCTCATCGAATGAGATAGAGCGATTAAAATAACAGGCTGATTATCTTAATAAAGACGTTTATATTGTGTAAAAATGAAGACTTTACTGCTTGTTAACATAAGCCATCTAGTGTGCGTGTTACAAATAATATTAGCAAATAATGTTCAGACATGTGTATATTTTCAAATTTCGTTTTTTCGATATTTTTCACTGCCACATTGTTCGAAACTATCCAAAACTGATTGCTAACAATGATGACGCGTAATTGTCATTTACAATTTGTATATATTTGCCAGGATGTATGAGATTATTATCAAGATTCCGAATAGATTGATTGTCACGAAGATACTCACTATTTGTAACCAAGCTGGCCCAAATGCTGAAGATCCCAGAGACAACCATCGATCCGCAAGCGAGCCATCTTCTGCCCCAGCGATCCAATACGAGAGTAAGAAACGTATCGGCAGGAAGTTCCGTTGCCGATGCGACGGTAAACGTTACGAACACGTCCAACTTGAGATTGTCGACATTCCTCACATGGCCGTCGAATACCAACGATATCGCCATCCTTTAGATTTCCAATCAACAATTATGATTCGCGGTCTGTACTGCAGTCTACAGTTATCAACTTTTCTAGCATGGCAAACATGTTGCACTTCCACGTATTTTCCGAGGATATATGAATCTTTGTCTTTTTCAAGGGAGTGAACGTGCGATTTGATGATAGCAGGCGATTTTTCCGGATGCATAATTAATGCTTGATGCTTGTATTACTCACCAGATTATAACTAATAGTATAGTAATGTTCCGCAGTCTTGGGCTTCGGAACAAATCGATCACCGAGTATGATTTATCAGCCTCTTCTTCCTTTTGCAGCCTGGCACATGTGTCCTACATTTTTAAGAATAACATCGTCAGAATCAAACCTTTCAATAAACCCGAATTTTCACACTGGCGCGTGCTCACCTGAAATTCTTTGCACACTTGATCAGGAATCTTAGTCTTATTGATTTTTTCGAATTTCTTCAGAATCGTCAAAGCTCTGTCGACCTTTCCCTGACTTACGAGCCACCTCGCGCTTTCAGGTACAAGCCACGGGGCGGACAAAGCTAAAATCAATGGCACTGATGTCGCAACGCACGTCAGTCGCCAGTCGGCTATGTAGTAGGCGATCCACGGCAATAGACATGCGGCGAAGGTGAAGAACATCGCTATTGACATGTTCGCCACGAAAGTACGCCACTTTGGTCCAACGTATTCCAATACTGTGGAAGATTACGAAATGCAATGATAAAACCGTTCGCCTTCTCTTTTGTCAGTCTGCGGAGATGACAGATAAAAACTTAGATTTCTTTGTCGCTGTCCTCGTACTTAAAATCATTGTCAATTGATGCGACATTAAGAATCCATTGGTATATAAAATCGTTTACGCAACGTATTCCGTTACTCATGTCAATTTCGTATCTAATGACGTTCTGAATATTTTTAGACGCTTAATTTGTATTCGTAAAAAAAGCAGTTAAGCAAAGTAATAGCGATCGCTCGAGTTCCGTTTTAATTAGCTTGTGATGCGCTATATAATTTCGCATTCATTGTTGCGCGAACGAGCGAATCTGTCAACTCGTCTTATGTCTTGTTTTTTTTTTGTTGCAAGAATTGCAATATTACTCTTGTTTTTTTTTTATTGCGCGAAACCTGATGGCCAAGGCGTAAAAAAGGAAGATAGTTTAAGAAAAAAAACCCCGCAACATCTACGAACGAAGGATGTATCAATTGCTCGTATGATTTACATCCTATCTCGAATGTAAAATATTGTTTTCCTTTTACAAGACGCAACCAACCGTGAATTGTCAAGTCATATTGCCGAAACTTTTTTTTCGTTCATGTATACGCGCCATAAAGGATAGCTGCTACTAAACGTCAAAGCGCATTCTTTTTTTGTCTCCAAAGGAAAGAGAAGGTCGTCGCGGCCTCGACGGAAGGAAGGGCGGAGGATTCTTTTGTTCATGCTCCAACGGTTCCGCGACAAAACGAAGATTGCCGTCGTCGCCGTAATTGTCAATTTCACCTGTTACGCAAAAGGGTGAACGTTTCGCGAGGCAGCGACCGTGAGATAATTTTTGAAAAAAGGTTGCCGCGGTTTTCGCTTCGATATATGAGCGTATGAACTGACGAACTTCACGTGGTCAAACGATTCGTGGTCTAGGTCGCTTGCGAAACAACAAATGCAATAGTGCGAATGTAAAACTTCCGAAGGATTCATAAAAGATTTCATCGTCTCGCGCGGCATTCCAGCGAATGATTTACAATGCGGAATCTAATTAGCCGCGTCGAAATAATTTATAGACTGCCGAGAAACAAGTTCATCGAAAAGTCAAACAGCAATTTCATAACACACATGTTCCCTAGCTGAAGCCGCGAATATGTATTACATTGCTAAGTAGTAACGACAGAAAGCTCTTTTCATTAATGTCTGCAAATTTTGCGTCCACGTGAGAATTATTAAAGAGAACGAGAGATTAAAGCGTCCTGGGAAAATGTTGGCCCGGTTCGACAGTGATTTACAGTTCGCGAATCTAAGTTATGCTGCGCACAAGCGTGTTACCTCTATATATAACTGGATGAAACGACGAGAGGATATCGTTACAGAAAATATTTAATATTTCCGGGAAAAGCTTGACAAATTTCGGCCTTGCGCGTTTTACAGATATTGCAAAAATTACTACCAGGTCATTATCGTTTTACATTCGAGTGTAGCGTTTCTTTTCCAACGTCACGAAAATGCATCTATCGCTACGATATTACGATATAAATCGCGAACTTTATTATCATAATGTTATGATCGCTTGTAATTATAATGTGATGCAGTGTTGCAGTAGAAGTGCAGCATTATAATTAAAATCTTGATAACTTTGTTCTTGTCTCGATTTCAATTTTAACATAAATACCATTTTTTTTCTGACAAGTTAACTTTTTTAAGATCACTTTTCTTGTAATTATCTACTCACTAGAACTACTTCGTAATAACACATTTTTCTGACCGATGAAAGCTGTTTTTTTTTTCAATTTCAACAGAAAAAGAAATACCTACCCAAAATGTACATCATGGTGAAGCAATTGTCGAAAGCGAATCCAAAGAAGAACCTGCATAAGGCAAACTCCCAAAAGTTGTGAGAGAAGATCGTGCAGACACCCGAGACGAAGCCAATGAAATTAGCTCCGACCAGTGCTGGAATGCGTCCGTAACGATCGGCTATGTAGCCGAAAATTAATCCACCGAAAATTGCTCCAACGAAGAAAATGCTCTGCGCGAACGTCGGGAGTGCCGCGTTATCACAGACCCACTCGAGCTGTAAAATTATAAAGTTCCATTATGCGTATTTTAAACATCAAAACTTGCATGTAACCGAGACGTTCAAATCTACACGTTATTGAATTACGTTTGCATTGGAAATCGATCGAGAGCGTTTACCAAACGTCAATTATGTTGTACTAAATTGGCTTCAAAGCCTCTTGCACGTGTTCAACATTGCGTAGTCAAAAGCCGCGTGAGCAAACCCAATTGCTATCAAACGAAGTGCTAAGCGTTTTTTATACACGTAGAGATTTTAACGACAACTAGTTGTCTGAATACCTAATTGTCAATTAAGTTATGCGAGAATCTGTTTAATCATAATCATTTGCAAATATTTCTTTCACGAATTAGTTTTTTCCACGAAAGAAACGTTGTCTAGCAAACAGAAAAATTGTACAAAAAAAAAGGAAAACTGCAGTTTGTCGTTTGAACATTACGACGCACATCATATCGATTTGTTTACTTCGAAGAAGTACGGGAATATACAGACTGTGTCGTTTATCAACACAAAGCTGCATTATTTTCTCTTTATACTCGCGATTCGAGCAACTATCAGATAAGCAGATACAAGCTTTCGATAAACCAAAGCTCACGTTTTCTCATTGTCTGCTCGAAAGAAAAATAACAAGAAATCCATCGATTTCCAAAGTATTCTGCAAAGCAACTTTCTATTTGTACGCAATACGAATATTCCACTTCATTAGAATTATACACAATTATGATTAAATGCAAAGCTCAATAATAAATCAACATTCTCGATAGTAGACATTAGCGATAGAATACTATACTAATATAAGCTTTTATTTAATTTAAAATACATAACATATATTCAAATGATGCACGCGCGCGCACGCGTGCTATTGACCCAGATCCAATTAAAAGCACTCGTGGCAAGCGCTATATTTCGAATTCATGCGTATATATAATTAACGCACACGCCTATTCGTAAAAAAAGGAACAAAAAAACAACTCGCAGTGTTGTATTTAAAGTCGTTTGCACAATCGATGCGCATGTAAAGAGTCCAAAAAACGAAGGATGCCTGATATACATCGGAAGTAACGTCGATAGACAACTTAACCAGATTCGCCGAATAAACCTACGTTCGTCGTTTATTTTATTCATACAATTAATGACGATGAGCGTTTTGACATTGTTTTGAAACTGCAATTGACACATAGTAGAATTAAAGCTTTTCCCAGCGGGCGACTGCAGCGTGTATTTAAGCACGAAAGCCCTCTAGACTGACGTTCCGCAACATCCGCAACCTGTACGTTCATAGTACATCGAGGTACGAAAATAAAGTAGAGGATGGTGTTATGTACCTCGGTAGCGACAGTAGCGTAAGGTATGATCGTATAATTGAATTCCCAGCCGTTGTCGCATGCTTTGATCGGCCAGTTGGGATCGGCAAATTGGATGCCGCTAGCCCTTACTTCTGTGTAGTTAACGTCGTACATTACGCACTTCGCCCTTGCCTCTGCACCGCCGTGCTGCTCCACTGGTATTGACAAGGCTAATCTGTAACAGGCCCATGGCATCGTGGTGCGATTAAAAACCTATTGCACTGCGGATACTCTTATAGTGCAAAAACTACACCTTTCTTATTATCGAAATTAATTGAAAACTTCATATCAGAGTCGAGCAAGAACATGCGTGTTTTTTTCTTTTTTTTTTATATTATTTAAAAAAAGCTTAATTGAACAAGTAGAGCGTAAAAAATAAATAAAATGAATAGAATTTTCCTTTAGCGCACCGGAAAAGTAATTTACGATCATCGATTCGCAAACTTTTTCAGTTTCTCGAAAAGAAAAAGTGGCAGCAAAAGCGACAAACATTTTTTCCGTTACTGATCATCCGCTCACACAAACATAACATTGTAAGTCATCATCGATCGAAACTCAATCGTAAAAGCTAAAAAAAAAAAAAAAAAATGGAGGAAAAATGAAAGAAAAATGACAAGACGATTAGTCACTAGGCAAGCCTTGGTTGACGCTCAAAAAAAGAAAAAAAAATGGCAAGTACTTGCACGGCACAATTACGTGACACGGAATCAATTAATCGCGTTGCACGTAGTAAAAGGTGTCGCGCAACGATCTTTCTGTTTATATTCATCACCAAGATAAATTGGCGAAGTTGCGCGCGTACTACCTTCATTACCAGATATGCAGAACGATCTGTTAAAATTAGGTATAGGGCAAGAGTAGGTCAAGCGAAAAGCAAAAGAGGAGAGAAATTAATGTACACTCAGGAGAGATTAATGCGCATAAGGTAGTCTTTTATCCACTTGATTGAAAGTGCGCAATTAAAGAGCACGCGGAGAGTCAGTCAATCGCTTTGGCTTATTGATAGTTCGCGGAAAAGAAAAACAAAAAGAGCAGATACAGTGAATAGCGAGATGCTGAATAAATTGACGATTTTGAGGCAAAGGATAGCCAAACTATGAAGATTTTCCCGTTTCCCGACATGAAATAATTACTTTTGGCAAACAAATGTGCTAACGAATGGTCAAAGAGATTTCACTTCTCCGAAACAACCTCAACGACTTGTCGTACGGTAAGTGCACTTACAGACAAGTTTTCCTTTTCAATGTTCATTCTCTCATTGCCTCTGTTGAGAGTATTAATTCGATACTCATAGCATCGCGTCCCACTATGATGAACGACACACCTCCAAACATCGTCATGAATATGCGCAATGTAGTGATTTCGTTTTTTTTAATATTTATTCATTTATTATTTTATTTTATGGAGAGTGATCCAATTCGTCGTCTAATTACCAACTGAAAACTAATTTTACATTTCTCCACTTCGTCGTAAATCAGCGACATACATGTACATTCAACTGCAATGTTTATTTACAGACTTACAAAAAATGCACAATAGCTCAGATACATCAGAAATAAACTGCCAAATGATCATTTACGAGCAAGCTAGATAAAGCGAAAAGAGGAAGCATAATTCGATTCAATTATATCAGATATTTGATCTCCATCTCTTGAGCAATTCATTTTTAAACTGTCAGATGTAAGCTCGTAAATCTAGCAAAAAACAAAACAACAGCCAAAAAAAAGAGAAAAAGTAGAGCTATATTATATACAATAACCGTGTAGCCAATGTAAATATAAGTGAAGATCTAGCTCGCGGGCAAAGCACATAAAAGATTTATCGCTGCCTATCGGCTGATTAACCGTACACGTGTTAAAAATGAACATCGGACGGTGTATCCATTGATCGAACGCCAATTAATTAATTGAATAAAGGTGGATTTGTGTCGCACGTGCTAGAAAGAGAAAGAGAAAGAGGGGGGGGGGGGGGTGAGAGACAGTTGCAAAACGTTTAATTATCAAGCAGGCGCATCGATTCTTCACTTGCGCGCCGCCAGAGGAAAATGCCGTACACGGCTACGTCGAACAGTTGCATCCTCATCGGCAGATAAGCGCTATGGATGGCATTGCATTTAGCGCGCCAGAGCAGTTTTAGTAACGCAGCGTTGTGAAAGGGAAGCCTTTCACCTTTCGGCAAACGACGAAAAGGAAAATCTCGAGCGGAAAATTTTTAACCGTTTGAGCGCGAAATGGACCATAATATACACGTTGCGAGATGCTGACGTAACTAAAACACTGTGTATGTGCGCCCGCGCGCATATGTGTGTGTGTAAAGGTAAGACTATATGTACCTGCCTTTCGCACATGCGGTTTATTGCTTTTTTTCATGCACTTTTTTTTCAGAGGGTTGTTTTAACTAGCATGCTGCATTGTTATAATGCTCTCTTACGTAATCGCTGTTCTTATTAAGAAGGACCAGAGACGTAATGGTAAAAGGCTTTGATGTTTAGATAGAATTGTCTTGGTCTTAAAAATATACAAAAAACTATTTAAACTGTAACAAATAAAAGAATGTACAAAAGAATACAATGTCAACATATCAATACGCGACAAAATTATCCATATAATATTAATTAAAATATTAATATTGCACCCGGTAGGCCCGGGTTCGATTCCCAGTTCCTGCTGATTGATACAAGCACCACTGAAAAAAGTTTCATGTGCTTTGTTCTCAAACACATTGCAAGCCTCCGTCGCTGATTAGCACTGATGGAGCATAAATAGAGCGACGTTAAATAAAAAAAAAAAAAAAAAAAAATATTAATTAAAAAGAAATTATATACATAATACAGCAGCGTCGCCACGACAATACTCAAAATCGTTAACCTAATTGCTTTTTGTCTAAATGAAAATTGAAGACGAAAGCGTCGTACGTCATTGTTCGTCTAAGAATTCATTGACAAAAGCCGGAACGTAGGTCGCGCGTACGCATGCGCTATAACAAAGGCAACGTGCTTGACGTCAAGTGCAATGGTATGTGCTTTTTGCAATTAGGCGATAGTTACACAGAGATTGGACGCAGCCGAAAAAAATAATAGCTTTGCGATACAATTATCGAGCGATTGACATTGGTCTATATTGAGTTACGGTTTATCCAATATTGAATTGATACGATGGAGTGATATAAATACACATTGATTACGATATCGGGATTCGTCGTGTATGTTATTTTAATAAGACGCGCATCTTTTCAAAGCTTCATCAGCCGAAGCAAATTGTATTTTAATGATGCCACTCAAGATAAATGATCGGGATTCTTTCTTTTGCAATATTCATGAGCGCTATCGATCGGAAATGAGTTCAAATGCTTCACCTTCTTCATTATAAAAAAAGAAAAAGAAAGATACTGAACTCAAAATTTGAATACCTGCGAATCATAACGCAGTAATGGAAATTCTATATTTTATTTTCAGTGAATCATCCTTCTGACACGCGCTGCGTGTTGACCTTTCGTTTGACGTCTTTTCACATCGTTGCACGTGCAAGTTCACAAATTAATTGACAGCACGCATTTACACGCGAAGTTTATCAAATTCTACATCACCAGTGGCGATCATTGAAAATTTAAAATCTAACAGATACCTTAATTCAAAAACAAAGGATCACTGATCGCTATCACAATCCAACGATTATTCTAGTGATTATCGAAAATTGTTAGTCGAGAAGTTTCCTCTCTTCGTGAAGAGAAAAATATTTTGCCTGAATTTCTTAAAACTCCCCTTCAATTTCTAATTCAATTACGTAAATTAGTTTTGTAACCTAATTACACTTTTTCTCTAATCTTTCTTGAGGTAAATCTAAATTATCGCATTTTCACGTGTATTCACAATGACAATACACGGCACGAGAGAAACAAACAAGAAAATTACATTTATCAATAAAGAATTCAAGCATATGTATATCAGTGAAGAAGAAAAAAATTTCCTCATGAGAAAAATTCATTAGTCTCATCATTCATGTACAAATGAAATCCAAAGCAAACACTTACCCACACATAAACAATTAATTAATCAAAATAACCAGTGCTGACAAGTATAGTGAGACACGCAACATTCTAACACGCCTTAAAGAAAGGCAATCGTTAAACGTGGGGAAGGACAAGTCTAATTGTTGAACCTTGAGAGCAAAAAGAAGAAAAAAAATCCGCGTAGAACGTCGTAAGTTTATATATATAATACTTTTGAATTGCTTTTTTTCCACGTCTAAACGATCGGATCCGATCGCTAATTTTAATTCGCGAGTGAATTTCTTTGTTCATTTCCGAAGTGTTGGGACTGCGTGATATCCAGATATTTGTTTTACTGATATCGCAAACATTGAAATTTAGACGTGACAAAAGCGCATTTGATGTTATTTACATTGCGAATCCCTTCAATTTTGAATACATTGGATATCAATAACACCATGCCCCATAATATCCAGTAAAGCTTGCACAATCTATTTCGCAATGCACCAGTCAACTGCTCATACTTTCAATGAAATAAATATGCGTAAACATACATTGTATTATTAAAAAAGAACATAAATTAATTTACAACAAACTTGAGGTACAGTCAACGAAGCATTTTCACGCAAAGAAATTAAATTTTGACCTTGCTTTTTTTTCTTCAATGACGTTTTGCAATATCAATGAATATTCTATACAACAGTTATAACACTGCATTATAACTCACCGGAATATCAAAAGCGTTATTATTAGTTCTTAAATTTATCTCATAACTATACACCGCACGACTAAAAAAAGTGTCAATTGTATTTTTTCTCACCTCAGTATCATATTTATTTTAAAAAATCAGAAACAAGCGTGTGCAAAGTGAAAACGCGTTGCATAAAAAATAGATACCAGCACACCTACGCCTGTTCCATATTTCACTACGATAAGTCAACTTACAATATATTTTTGTGTTTTGTGAAACAATCGACAAACAAAAGACACTCGTTTGGGATTCTTTTGACACTGAAATTGGTGACAGCTTCCAAAAACTTTTCAAATCGCGCAGTCATTAAAACTTTCCTAAGTTATCACGAGTATTTGGATAAGCGCGCCATGTATTTTTAACAAATTGCGTCTGGAGCTCTGCATCAAATTATTTAACAATCCAATTAGTTATGTTACGTTTGGGATCGTGATAAATAAAACAAAAATCGTAAAGCAACGAACAAAGTGATTCGAGAACGTAAATAATTCACAGTTATAACAACTCTATTACTAGTATTTTTAACTCGCGAAAACGTTGAATAATTGTGTTTGTGTGTGTGTGTGTGTGTGTGTGTGTGTGTGTATGGACTGACGAATTTTTCTATCGTTATACGCAATAGCAAATGCTTTCGAAATGTTTTTATTACGTCAACCTACGTCAATCTAAAATTGTTTTCATTTTAACAGGATTTTACTATTATTCTTTACACCGCCACAAAACAGTGCCAAACTAATTTAAAACAGGTTGCGCGGGAAACAGTCACAATTTATAAAACATCTATCAAAAAATCTAGATATTTTTATGAATCTTATTTACTGTTACTAAAAAATGAAAATGATGAAGCGTTTTACTAAGTATAAAATCAATTAATACAAAGTTACTCTAGCTAACAAAACGATCCTCGAAAACACATATATATCCGCGTCTGATCAAACTCATCTTCCTCTACTTTCCCTATGTAAGTGCTATCGCGCGATCTGTCGATTAAGCAGCTTGCCATGCGTATTCACAAGATTGCAAACGACGACCTTTAACGAGCAAGTAAGAATGTCAATTCCGGGAAGTGAACTCGCGCGCAACGACGAAAAAGACCGAGAAAAATAGAAAAAAAACATAGCTATTCGATTTCCGGAACAATTGGATTTTGAGATCAGACAAATCGGCATTCGAGTCCACGGCCACTGACGATGAAAAAAGTGAAATTGAGTTTTTCCATCGTCGATCGTAGCTGGCAGTGTCACGCGAGATGTCTGTACGCACCGCCGACGCGCTTTTGAGCGCGATAATTTTCGCGGCAGCGCGTAAAAAAAAAGCACGGGGGGTGCGCGCTTGTGGACTCGGCTTACCGCAAGACGTATATCTGTTGAACTATTACGAGTATGCTCGATTTAGAATGAATTCAATGACGCTAATTCTGCACCTTACTGTTCGCGCGCGTGTACCGAATTGAATTTGAAAGAAGGACCAACCTCTGCTCGAGCGGCAAATCCATGAGCTCGGGTACTTTACACCAATGTTCCTCGGGCACGAGCGTGATGAAAATCTGCGAGAAGTATACCCAAGCGACATAGAAGGCGAACGGAATCATGAGGCAAAACAATATCTTCTGGTAAGTGCCGAACTCTCCAACGTGCGGCAGCAGATCGTCGAAATCCACATCTTTGACGGGCGGCGCTTGCGTTTTCTCATCCTTAGCGCCGACGTCGTTCGGACTGGGCGACGTGCTGACAATCGTGCCGCACATTATTTCCGGCTGATCGTCGGCTGTCGCGCCCTTGCTGAACTTCTCTTGCGGCGGCATTGTTCGTCGACAAGTCGCTCCTCTCACGCGCACATAGGGAAGCCAGAAGTACACGCACGTGACACGGAGCGGGCGCGCGCCTTTCGTACGCGACAGATGTCAAACTGAAAAGCCGACTGACCGCGTGGCCGACTATATAGCGGCTGCTGCCGCTGCTGCGTCAACTCCACTCTGCCGCTCGGAAATCATTCCCCCTCTCGGCACTCTTTATGTATATTTTCTTCTCCTCGCAAGTTCTGTCCCTTTCGCTCGATGTACGCGTCGCAACACACACACTGGCCATGGCAAGCTTGCAGGCCTGCTGCTTGTGTATTTTTGGACGACGAGGTATTGGAAAATCGATAGGCTTTTTTTTATACCAGGCTTGGGGTTTGCCAAGGTGCAGATTATGTTGTATTTTGTACTCGATAATCTTCGTTCTACCTTGAAACGAGGGTTGCGAGCGATTATTATGGGGATCATCGTATTTGTTCAAGTAAAATGTGAATATCTTAGTTTGGATAAATAACGATGAATCCGTAGAAGTTGGATAGAAATCAGAGAAATATTTATTTATTTTTTCATTTTTTTACTAATTAACTAATATTCTTATATATTATTCTCGTTACTTCATATTCCATACATTAACAAATGATTAACAAAGATAATTTTGATGAACTTCACTTTGAAAAGAACAATTAAAAACGATCGTGCTACCAATATTTATCGGCATTTAAGGCGACCGTAATTTACCTCAATTGTTATTATATATAAATCTATGAAACAAAGAACAAGTTTAATAAACCAATCGGATCGTTGAGTTTTAAGGTTGTCCAATTTTTCGAATCAAACCAAACATTGACGATAGCTGATAAATCATTGAATGATATGTGCGGTAGACAACGTTAAAAGAAGTAAAAATAAGAGACACAATATTTGACATTAATATCAAGTTTGTTTGAATAAGCTATTCGTGTAACTTGTATTCCGAAGATACAAGCAATGATCAAATAGTATGCTATCGGCAAGACAAAAATCTCTCACGTTTGTGGAAAATCCGTGCAAGTCTCGTTTTTATAAATGATAGAGAACAAATCGAATAAAAACAAGTCGATTAACTAATGAGAATACAAAAACACGTATGTGGTACTACGACATTCTGGGAATAGTCTCGAATGAATAGCCGAAGTTTGTACAGTCACGTTGTAAAACAGTTATTTGCAAGCAAGCTCCGAAACGAAATGTGCGTGATGATTGGCGAAATAAAATTTGTGGAATTTTACTTGAGCTGCAATGAATGAAGTGCCTCGGCAGATAAAGCTTGAAAAATAATGTATCTAAACGCACGTGCATACATTGAGGAAAGTCATGCACAAAAAATGAAGACTTAGTAATATAGTGCTGCGGCGAGTTTTTCAAAGTACATCCCATCTATGACCAAAGCACAAAATATTAATTATTATTGTATACAACAATTAAAAATTAACTGTCACGAGATATATTTACTTCTGACAAGCATCTGTTAATGTTTTTAACGAGTATCGCATTATTTTATTCATAATAATTATTAAACACACATTTTATATGTCTTAGGTAATCTTGACCTCGATAATGTGTAGGTCCCCAACACTCATTATCTAAATATAACGATACATATCACATTATTCTCCAATAGTAATTTGACAAAAGTATAATATTCTAATTTTTTTATGATATAAACAAAAGATTATACAACAATACTTCGAATGTGGTTCTCAAAGACGCGGATCTGAAGAGGACAATCGGTCATGAAAGAATCCTAGTAGGAATCACGATCGAGGTACTTCGCACATTCTTGACTAATGAAAACCTCGCGTTTCATTTTTTTTTTGCGCCTTCCTCATTAAGGCAGAAAGATAAATGGGTCAATGATTTATCCAACTTCTTTAACACCTGCATACGTACACGCGTGTGCGGGGGCAGAGCTATGCGCTCTCTGCACTTGCACTTGTTTTTTTTGTTGTATTGAACTTGTTTTTTTTTGTTTTATTAATATGGCAAGCATCCGGAAACGTTATCGAGACTACCTTTTTCCTCTTACACGTATGTTGGACTAGCGAATATAGAATTGACGTTAAAATCAAATGTGAAAATTATTCGAATGACCGTGATCGTAGTGACGGTGTTTAGTAGCTAATGAGGATAAATAATTGTTAGCAAGACTTCAAAAAAAAAATAAAGGTTTTTAGAGTTGTGTAATAATATTACCTCGTCCCATTAGATCCGAGGAGTTTATTATCGCATTATCAATATAAATATATTTATTGCAAGGCATGTAATTGTGTTCCAAATGTATATGCACAAATAATGCCATTGTGTGGAAAAATTTTATCCGAGTATACGGCAATCAACGTAATAACGTGTACACGCACACCTCGTCGCCGTCATACACCGGCGATCAGTAAAAAGAAGTTGTGAAGGAATAACGCCTATTTATCTAATTACCGTGTGATTAAACTATTTTCTTCTATTTGATGTGACTTTTACGCTCATCTCGTTGAATAAAATTTTCATTAGAGCGATGCAGAAACCATGTTCCACATTACTTGCATTTTCTGTTTCGTATAGCAATAAAATGTTTAATATAAAAAATTTTAAAGTATAAAATTTGGACACTGGTCATTTGCTGTTAAAAATCAGTGACCGTATTGAGTAAATAGCATCAAGAAAGAAATGTAAACGAGGAAAAGTCAATGAAATTTGATGCAACGTCAATCGGAATCGTGATCGGAAGCTTTAGCCCTTTCACATATTCAAGTTGACTTCCTGCGGTCTCGAATAGATCACAACCTTGCGCAGGGTAAATGGCAAATATCGCGTGGCAAAATATCGCGACTCGAGAGATGCACGCGTCACTCTTATATTTCCTTGGAAGTGTTTGTGCGTTTTTCTCTTCGTTTTAGTCATCATCCCCCAGTTATGCGAAAACTCAAGTTGATTGACGATTAATCGATGCTAATTATATCGAGGAAGTGTTGGATTAGATGATTTTAACAAAGTAAGTTTCTATTTTATAAATGTTCAATTTATTTTGCGGTTGCTCAGAGTTTCATTGGCACATGAATACATATTTTATTATAATAGGTAAATATTCAATATTTATTCTCGAACGTTGTCGGGAACAAACGAATATTTATTTTGAGCTTTTTTTCATGAAAACGTTAATGGCTTTTTCTAAAATTACATCATTTTAAAAAACAGAAAGTTTTCAATGCAATAGCCAAGAGCTGCTTAATTTTCAGTTAACTTTCAAGAATAATATGCATCGCAACATAGTAACAAACGTAAAGCAAAATTATAACGCAATCAGGCAGCAAATTACAGTTTCCACACACGCGTAAAATCAATTAACAGTCAAGTGAAAAATCTCAATCTTGAAACATTGTTATCGGCTACCCCGCGCCTTTGCAGAACACTGTAAAAATTACGAATAGCAATTTGCGCGTGGCGCGCTTGCGGTAATGTCTTTCGGAATTGCATTAAAAGCAAACCGAGAATTCTGCCGACGCGTCGAGCTCGGGGACAAAAGATCTATACGCGCGAGAGGAATCGTAGCTTTATTTAAAATTTCAAACTAAAAACGAGTTCCCGTTTAAGCTTCTAGCGCTTAGAGTTTTCAGTGCTGCTAATCGAAACTATTTTCCGGATCAGATTAATGAGATCAGTGCAGTGTTTTGTTATTATAATTAATAGGTGGCCATTTTCTTTCGCAAATCTCAAAGAGTCCTTCTCGAGAGTAACAATTGCAAATTAGCGAGAAATAATCTACGCGTTGATTGAAATCATAAGCGTTGAAATAAATTAAATTTCTACAAAACATATTAACTAAACATATTAAGTTACATATTGCGCAGATGTCACATGGGAAAACTTTCACTTGTGCGCGAATCGCTTGATCACTACCGAAATCATTACAAATCATAATTGCATAGACTGGCTTACACCAATCGCCACATGAAAGCAAAACGCATGCAATCGCACATTCGTAAAGCCGAAGACAACAGGAACTATGCAAAATCATCGGTATATGTACAGCACGCGAGCTTCTGGTTACAGCTAGTACGTAAGCTTTAATATCTCAAGCGTGAGCGATGCATCAAAAAGGCTTTTAAAGATTTGTTTCGAGTGTGCTTGTAAACGAGGCGAAAACGCATCAATGCGCCAAGCGATAGAAATCGCTTTTTATTTATTTTTTTTTCCATTCACGCGCTGTTAACCTCGCGACCTGCCGCGTTCTAGATCTTGATCGGTAAATTGAGGTGTACAGGTCTCTTATTCCACTTAAACATAGTATTCCAATTGATATTATCTTACTTGACTGATATGTCGCTCTTGCGTTTAACTTTTGTCGCGGATAATTTATAGAGTCTGTGATTTTGTTTTAATCACAGTTCAGTTATTCCTTCTTAAAAGTAACTGAAGTTTATAAACTTTCATCGGTATAAAATCCACATAAAAAGCTTTCAAAACGTTAAAAGAGACGGTCAAAATTCCACCCTTGATCCCCAATCATAACAGTATCCACAAAGCAATGGAAAACGAAAAAGAAAGGATTTTTCAGATCAAATATTCATATCGGAGTGTGTACACACGTATATGCGGCAATCGTATCGTAACAAGTGCATGTCGCAAACAACAGAGAGAGAGAGAGAGAGAGAGAGAGAGAGAGAGAGAGAGAGAGAGAGAGAGAGAGAGAACAAGTTTATTACACTTAACGCTATATCCACCTCGCAGCGAGGAGATGATATCAGTCGTTCGAACCTCGCACAATTGAATGAGCAACGAGGACGTGGGAGAGAGAAAGAGTGAAAGACCGCTGGTATATATGCGCGGAAGTGACGTCATCAATCTGTCTTCTTTTTTTTACTTTTTTATTCTTCTCTGCGGGTCCTTTCGGAAGACGCACATTGACCTCATTCGATTTGGCATAAGGAAAAGCGAGCGCGTGTAGGAGAAGCTGCGCGAGCGATCGCAATATTACAGTGCGTCGCGTCGTTGTAAGCATTCAATGCAGCATACGAGTTAATTGGCCCTATAGTATCGCGGGACGCGTCTTTATTTTTTACTCTCGGACTGTCGGAGCCGAAGCTACCATCGGCACGGACTCATCCGTCAAAGTGCGCATCAGAGCCAATTATCGACAGGCGTCTCGCGCACTCGCAGCTGCGACCGTCATTGTGCCCTTTTACATACGCTCGCTCGAGGTCTCACTCGCGTCG